AAAGTCGATAATCTACTTTCCCGAAAAGTAGATGAAAGTATATTTCCCGGAGATATATCCCATTTTTTATGATACAAATTTCCCGTTTTCTGTGATAATCTACTTCGCAAAATTAGGTAATTTTTCCCCAAAAATTCGATAATCTGCTTCCCCGAAAAGTCGATAATCTACTTTCCCGAAAAGTAGATTTTCTACTTTTCGGGAAAGTAGATAACCAACTTTCCCGGAAAGTAGATATATCCCATTTTCTGTGATACAAATTTCCCGTTTTCTATGATAATCTAATTCGCAAAATTAGGCAATTTTTCCCCCAAAAGTCGATAATCTGCTTCCCCGAAAAGTAGAAAATCTACTTTTCGGGAAAGTAGATAACCAACTTTCCCGTTAAGTAGATATTTCCCATTTTCTATGATACAATTTTCCGTTTTCTATGATAAGTAGATAACCAACTTTGTATTACAGGTCCAAGGAATAGATCCCACCAAAATCATCACCTCATTACTATGGGGTATATTGAAATACATGCAGTAGTTTTAATTACAGAATATATTAACAAACAAACAATGAAACAAATATATCAGTATGTACAAAAATAAACAAATACAAATTAAATCTAATCAAATAAATGACTCAACCGAGTGACAAAATAATGAACAAAAAAGTAAAGACTTTAGTCTAGAAACTACGATGAGCAACGTGGTCTGCTAGTGTATATATATATATATATATATATATATATATATATATATATATATATATATATATATATATATATATATATATATATATATATATATATATATATATATATATATATACACATACTACTACTGTAGTATGTGGTCTAGAGCTGGTACAACTGTAGTATGTGGTCTACACAGCTGGTGCTACTATAGTATGTGGTTTAACAGAACTGGTGCTACTGTAATATGTGGTCTACAGAGCTGGTGCTACTATAGTATGTGGTTTAACAGAACTGGTGCTACTGTAATATGTGGTCTACAGAGCTGGTGCTACTGTAATATGTGATCTACAGAGCTGGTGTTTCTATAGTATGTGGTCTAACAGAGCTGGTGCTACTATAGTATGTGGTTTAACAGAACTGGTGCTACTATAGTATGTGGTCTACAGAGCTGGTGCTACTATAGTATGTGGTTTAACAGAACTGGTGCTACTGTAATATGTGGTCTACAGAGCTGGTGCTACTGTAATATGTGATCTACAGAGCTGGTGTTTCTATAGTATGTGGTCTAACAGAGCTGGTGCTACTGAAATATGTTGTCTACAGAGCTGGTGCTACTGTAGTATGTGATCTACAGAGCTGGTGCTACTGCACATGTGGCTTTCAGGAGCTGGTGCTACTGTAGTTTCAGATCTACAGAGCTGGTGCTACTGTATATGTGGGTCTACACAGCTGGTGCTTCTGTAATATGTGGTCTACAGAGCTGGTGCTACTGTATGTGGTCTACAGAGCTGGTGCTACTGTAGTATGTGATTCCCAGAGCTGGTGCTACTATAGTATGTGGTCTAACAGAGCTGGTGCCACTGTAGTATGTGGTCTACAGAGCTAGTGCTACTATAGTATGTAGTCTACAGAGCTGGTGCTACTATAGTATGGCCCACAGAGCTGGTGCCACTGTAGTATGTGGTCTAACAGAGCTGGTGCTACGTAATATGTGGTCTACAGAGCTGGTGCTACTAGTATGTGATCTACAGAGCTGGTGCTTGTAGTATGTGGTCTAACAGAGCTGGTGCTACTGTAATATGTGGTCTACAGAGCTGGTGCTACCATAGTATGTGGTCTAAGAGAGCTGGTGCTACTGTAGTATGTGGTCTACAAAGTTGGTACTACTGTAGTATGTGGTCTACAGAGCTGGAGCTACTGTAGTATGTGGTCTACAGAGCTGGAGCTACTGTAGTATGTGGTCTACAGAGCTGGAGCTGCTGTAGTATGTGATCTACAGAGCTGGTGCTACTGAAGTATGTGGTCTACAGAGCTGGAGCTGCTGTAGTATGTGATCTACAGAGCTGGTGCTACTGTAGTATGTGGTCTACAGAGCTGGAGCTACTGTAGTATGTGGTCTACAGAGCTGGTGCTACTGTAGTATGTAGTCTACAGAGCTGGTGCTACTGTAGCATGTGATCTACAGAGCTGGAGCTACTGTAGTATGTGGTCTACAGAGCTGGAGCTACTGTAGTATGTGGTCTACAGAGCTGGTGCTACTGTAGTATGTGGTCTACAGAGCTGGTGCTACTGTAGCATGTGATCTACAGAGCTGGAGCTACTGTAGTATGTGATCTACAGAGCTGGAGCTACTGTAGTATGTGGTCTACAGAGCTGGAGCTACTGTAGAATGTGGTCTACAGAGCTGGTGCTACTGCAGTATGTGGTCTACAGAGCTGGTGCTACTGCAGTATGTGGTCTACAGAGCTGGTGCTACTATAGAATGCAGTCTACAGAGCTGGTGCTCCTGTAGTATGTGATTTACAGAGCTGGAGCTACTATAGAATGTGGTCTACAGAGCTGGTGCTACTGTAGTATGTGGTCTACAGAGCTGGTGACACGTAGTATGTGGTGGTGATGCAGCCATCTGTTATCTGCTGTTGGTGGTGGTGGTGATGTAGCCTGCGTCATCTGGTGTTGGTGGTGGTGATGTAGCCTTCTGTTATCTGCCGTTGGTGGTGGTGGTGATGTAGCCTTCGTCATCTGGGTGTTGGTGGTGGTGATGTAGCCATCTGTTATCTGCTGTTGGTGGTGGTGGTGGTGATGTAGCCATCTGTTATCTGGCTGTTGGTGTTGGTGGTGATGTAGTCTTCTGTCATCTGGTGTTGGTGGTGGTGGTGATGTAGCCTTCTGTCATCTGGTGTTGGTGGTGATGGTGATAGCCATCTGTTATCTGGGTTGTTGGTGGTGGTGGTGGTGATGTAGCCTCTTATCATCTGGTGTTGGTGGTGGTGGATGTAGCCTTCGTCATCTGGTGTTGGTGGTGGTGGTGGTGATGCAGCTCTTCTGTCATCTGGGTGTTGGTGGTGGTGGTGGTGATGTAGCCTTCTGTCATCTGTTGGTAGGTGGTGGTGATGTAGCCATTTGTTATCTGCTGTTGGTGTTGGTGGTGATGTAGCCTTCTGTCATCTGGTGTTGGTGGTGATGATGTAGCCATCTATTTTCGGTTGCTGGTGGTGGTAGTGGTGATGTAGCCATCTCTTATCTGCTGTTGGTGGTGGTGATGCAGCCCTTCATCATCTGGTGTTGGTGGTGATGTAGCCTTCTGTCATCTGGTGTTGGTGGTGATGTAGCCATCTGTTATCTGCTATTGGTGGTGATGTAGCCTTCTGTCATCTGGTGTTGGTGGTGATGTAGCCTTCTGTCATCTGGTGTTGGTGGTAATGTAGCCCTCTCATCTGGTGTTGGTGGTGATGTAGCCATCTGTTATCTGCTGTTGGTGGCGGTGGTGATGTAGCCTTCTGTCATCTGGTGGTGGTGGTTCTGACGTATTGTCACGGATACCCAAAAAATGTTCTATACTACTGAGGGTATACACAAACACTTGTTGTCTTAAAAGTAGGTTCTATTCTCGTACGGGAGATATATACACAGTAGGACGCAGAAGCTCGCGTTCACACCACCAGGACTCTGTCTTCTCTCTCTACATCTATCTATGTATTACTGCGCGCTGGGATGTACAGATGCCAGCATTCACAAGCTGAATACATAAAGTATAAATATGATAATTTACATACATAATATGGTGCACAATAAATGGAATATTACATAGAATTAATACATGTTCTGTAATACTTTACTATACATAATTAATGGAGTAATATAAGAGTAATATAATAATACACAGCTGAAGGTACTACTTTGTGTCCATATATATCATACAGTGGTAATGTAGCCCTCTCATCTGGTGTCGGTGGTGATGTAGCCATCTGCTATCTGCTGTTGGTGGTGGTGGTGATGTAGCCTTCTGTCATCTGGTGGTGGTAGTGATGTAGCTTTCTGTCATCTGGTGTTGATGGTGATGTAGCCATCTGTTATCTGCTGTTGGTGGTAGTGGTGATGTAGCCTTCTGCTATCTGCTGTTGGTGGTGGTGGTGATGTAGCCATCTGTTATCTGCTGTTGGTGATGTAGCCTTCTCTGTCATCTGGTGTTGATGGTGATGTAGCCATCTGTTATCTGCTGTTGGTGGTGTGGTGATGTAGCCATCTGTTATCTGCTGTTGGTGGTGGTGGTGATGTAGCCTTCTGTCATCTGGTGGTGGTAGTGATGTAGCTTTCTGTCATCTGGTGTTGATGGTGATGTAGCCATCTGTTATCTGCTGTTGGTGGTAGTGGTGATGTAGCCTTCTGCTATCTGCTGTTGGTGGTGGTGGTGATGTAGCCATCTGTTATCTGCTGTTGGTGGTGGTGGTGATGTAGCCATCTGTTATCTGCTGTTGGTGGTGGTGGTGATGTAGCCATCTGTTATCTGCTGGTGGTGATGTAGCCTTCTGTCATCTGGTGTTGGTAGTGATGTAGCCTTCTGTCATCTGGTGTTGGTGGTGATGTAGCCATCTGTTATCTGCTGTTGGTGGTAGAGGTGATGTAGCCCTGTTATCTGCTGTTGGTGGTGGTGGTGATGTAGCCATCTGTTATCTGCTGTTGGTGGTGGTGGTGATGTAGCCATCTGTTATCTGCTGTTGGTGGTGATGTAGCCTTCTGTCATCTGGTGTTGGTGGTGATGGTGTCTGGTGGTGGTGATGTAGCCCTGTCATCTGGTTGTTGGTGGTGATGTAGCCTTCTGTCATCTGGTGTTGGTGGTGATGTAGCCTTCTGCCGGTGGTGATGTCTGTCATCTGGTGTTGGTGGTGATGTAGCCTTCTGTCATCTGGTGTTGGTGGTGATGTAGCCTTCTGTCATCTGGTGTCTGGTGTTGGTGGTGATGTAGCCTTCTGTCATCTGGTGTTGGTGGTGATGTAGCCTTCTGTCATCTGGTGTTGGTGGTGATGTAGCCTTCTGTCATCTGGTGTCGGTGGTGATGTAGCCTTCTGTCATCTGGTGTTGGTGGTGATGTAGCCTTCTGTCATCTGGTGTCGGTGGTGGTGTAGCCTCATTCAACTGATGTTGGTTGTGATGTAGCCTCAGTCATCTGGTGGTGGTGGTGATGTAGCTTCTGTCATCAGTCTGTCCCTTGTTCTTCACTTCTGTAAGGTTAGATGATATATATAGTTATATAGATTTAATGGTAAGTAGATGGGTTCACAGACTTACTAATTGGCAAAGCCATCAGATACTTATTTACAGTAGGGTCCTTTGCTTAGGCACGGTCTCTAATCAGTAATAGTATGTCTACAGGAGAAATAGCGAAAGTTTTCTGATAAATTTAACAAGCATTACATTTTACTTGGACTAACTGAGGTTGGCAGATCACTTCAACAATATAATATTTTGTGGTTAATATAGAACGAGCTTCATCTGTTATGTATTTTTTACCTTTAGCTATGAATTGTTTTACACTATTACTGGTTTTGAAGTAGTTCGGAAACTTGTTTCAGTCTTTTATAGCTGTGAAGAAGAAAGTGTTTTTTGCTTGACTGCAAACACCAGGTACAGTACAGTACTGTGTATCAAAAAATTATGTTCCCTCCCTCTAGTGCCCTGCCGGTTCATATCCCTAATCCTTACAAAATTTGGTGTTAAATAGTCTGGCCACAGTCTGTTGAATATTCTATAAGAGTGATTCAGACTCTATCTGTCACACTTAGCATTTTCAGTGATTGTAAGACTCTGAGACCAATGTGATCTCTGGCATTCATGTCAAGAGTAAACCTCGCTGCCTTGTTTTAAATAAATTTTAATTTGGCTTTTAGCTTCTGTGTTAAGGCAGAGTGTAATGATGATCAGGAATAGTCTAAGTGACTTTGTATGAGTGCCAAGCAAAGGTTGCTATGGGCATCAGCTGAGACATATGGAATTTCTATAAACAAATTGTTAATCCTAACATTAGTTTTACTTATTATATTACCTATAATTTATTCTCCAGATGAAGTAAGTCAAGAGTTAGTCCAAGGCATTTCACTGAGTTTACAGTTGAGATGGGTTCATTCCCACATTGTAGTAAAACTCCCCAAAGTCGGACTCAGTCTGAATTACCGGTGCACATGCCGAGTTGTAATTGGTAGCGTGCCACAACACCAGTCTCTCACCAACTGCCAGATAATATGATGGCATCCAGTCAGTGCTGGATTTAGGAACAAGGTAAGTTAGCTACAGCTTAGGGCCTTACATTAAGAGGGCCCTCTAAATATGTTTGAGATACAGTAAGTAAAAAGATTTGTTATGAATCAAATTGCCCTGGCATAAATACTGTAACTTATTTCATTTGCAGGGCAGATGTTTATAATTTTAAAGTATCATCGGGGAAACCTTATTAATTAGTTTTCAATTCACTCATTCACTGACTCATGTTAGCTGTGTGGCAGTTGATTGCTGCCTAGAAGCAGTAAATTTTGTTGTTGTTGTGTAACAAATATATACTTTCTTCTCAGCCTCTACAAAACCCTGGGCAGTACTCAAATTATTATTGAATCCTGACTCTACAGTACCAAAACATCTTCTGACACTAAACTAGGTGGGAAGCACATGCAAAGGCTACTTCAGCCATAGGCCCATAGGTGAGTTACACAGTAATTCAATTATGTACTGTAATGATGCTTTTAATAATGTCCATACTAATGTACTAATGACAGTGAAGAGGGTGAAACTAGAAGAAAGCTGATATTCTTCCTGAGAAAACTGAGGAACTGGACTGTGTGTTCATGTTCGTTGGTTAGATCATTTCCACAAACCAACAAGACCCTACAGGATCCACAGATTGGCCTTAGCACATGTACAAAGCTTTACACATTGCTCGCTAACTTCTTGAAATAAATCCTAGAATGTAGACTACAAGTGTGTGTGAATAAAAGTGAGTGAGACAAAACAAGTCAGTGATGGTGATGCAGCAAATGATGATGACAGGCTTTCTCCAAGAGACAACTTTTGAGTAAAATCCTTTATTCCCATGATGGATGCCCTTGAAATCAGTGTGAAAAAAAAGACAGTCATATACAGTACAATAATGTTGCAAAAATATCGACATTTTTAGTTGATTTAGAAGAACAGTTGTGTGACAGTGTAAAGTTTCTGATGAAAGACTATCCTGATGATATTGATGTTCACCTTGTTGGGGAAGTAAAGCACTTTCATGTTTATACCAAGAAAAAATATTCTAATAAAGGATATTCATGCGACTAGGACCTCTGTCAAGTCATCTTCCAAGATAAGATTCATTTGGCTTTCCCTAATGTAGAAGCAATATTGTGACTACTTTTCAGTCTAATAGTAACAAACTGCTCAGGAGAAAGGTAGCTGAAAAGGATTAAGAATGAACTTTGGATATCAATGCTGTGAGAAAAGTTCTCTGCATTAAGCATTATGTGAATAGAAAGTGAAAAATTTGTAGCTTATCATTGGATGACTTCATCCATGACTTTGCTCTTGGGAAACTACGAAAGAAATTTTTTAAAATCTTATGTAATGTTCAAACAGAAGAGACAGTGCCAGTTGCATTACTGCTTCCATTTACTAAGGATGAGAATGTTTAATTTCTTTATATAATAGTAGGAGTAACCAGAGAACAGATTATCTCAACTGTTACTCAACTTCAGTGTGACGAATAACTTCTATCACCAAAATTGTCACGTATACTTGGAGTACACTTGACTAACTGTAGACTGGTCACCTGAGACTGGTCCTAGACTGGGTCCTCTTAGGCTATGCTTTGCCAACTATGTAACAATATCTTCTTTGTAACAGTATAACACAGTAATGGGGAGAACATAATATCTCTATCTTTGCCAACTGTGTATCTGTTGGGTGACTGTTACTTGTTGTATAACAACTATTTGTGAAGCTGTCATGTATGTAACAACTTTCCTGAGTTGTCATCACTTGTAACAATCACTTGTGAAACATGTTACCTTATATTCTAGATGCACTAAAATTTAGATCAAAGTTTATTGGGTCTTCAGTAACTTAATCCAATAGGTTCCTTTTGTGTATTTATTATCAAAGATTTCTATATACACTTTCAAAAAGGATTATCACTGTCGCTATGAGTGTTAAATGAGGATGGAGGCTATCTTAAAGTAGCTCTTCTAAAATACGTCCGATTGACGTGAGAGTGGGAGTGATCTTGAGTAGGGACCCTCGAGGGAGAACGGAAATATATCCGACGTCCTCCCTCGAGGAAAGACGGAAGCACATCAACGATGGCACTAAATAATGTCTTCCTCTCATCAGGGTTATCAAACTACTGCCCGCAACGGGTGGCCAGGGAGCTGGATACTTATCCCTTAGCTCAGCACTAAGTGACGTGACTTCCCGTGGACACATCTTATCACGTGCTCTGAACATGAACCTCATAGCTAGTGGAAAGTTACAGGGGGCAATAGTTATACAAGTCTATGTAATTAACCCACATTTATATTAATACTTGTGCCTATAAGATAGGGGATAATACAAGGGTTGATCTGTGCAATGTTTTATGTTAAAAGTCTTTAATTTTATATTTGCTAGTTAGGAAATCATAAATTACAGTATTATATATTGCAAATAAGGCTTTTTCTAAGATGTATATATTATTTAGATTATAAGTTGTTCATTGCATCTTTGCCTTTGTATACTGTACAGCATATGCAAATACATAGTTTTATAAAAAAAAAAATTATTGACCTTTATGTTTGAATGTAATACCTGTACACTCTTTCTCACTATTATATACTTTATTTTTTTATGGTATGGAGCCTCTAAATCTTGACATACCTGTAGCTTAGGGCTTCAGCATGTCTTAATACAGCACTCCATCTAGTACTGATTGTGGTGATTATATAGTTACTACAGTACAGTACAGTACAGCACAGCACAGCACAGTACAGTACAGTACAGTACAGTACACTACACTACAGTACAGTACAGTACACTACAGTACAGTACAGTACAGTACAGTACAGTACAGTAAATTTAAGCTTTGTGTTATTAAGTTTGGTGTAATACTGTACAGTCCTGTACATATTTCTACTTAAATGGTAAGCATGTCAGACTAGCCAAAGTGCAGTGCCTCTCTTCACCCACCAAGGCTCCAGCAATCATATAGGAAAGTAAGTGTCCTGGAGTGTTCAGTTGTTATGAAGCTTTTAAAGGTTAATATCAAATGAAGACAATTTTTTAAAAGGTACTGGATACAGGGAAGTGTACAGATGAGGTGTGTGTGTGTGTGTGTGTAAGATAGGTGTAAATATGGAGGAGAAAGTAGAGATGTCCAATAAATATGTTAAAGAAGAGGTACTGCATGAACCAACCTTCTGGAAAACATGTAACAACACACAAGTGAACATACTGGACGTGGCATGCTATATGTTTTACCTTGATAAGAGATGAGTTTATCTTGGGCCACTGCAGGATGAGTGAAGGAAGTGGGTGAACTTTTGACAGTTTCTCTAATGCATCTTTGTTGGTCGATCCACTCGGTCTACTTCCCAGACCTCACCTTCCTCTGTCACAATAAAAAGTGAGTAAGTAAAATACTGTACAGGCATCCCTCAAGGTACAGAAGCTTGAGTAATGGAAATTCACATAAAAGGAACTAAAAAAAAATATGAAATAATCTTTGAGATACAGAGGAAAAACTTTCATTAGTTACTGGGACACTCCACACTACAGTACTGGTCTTGGTTTGCTCAGATCCCAAGAAGAATCTCCACCCCAACTTATTACACCTAAAGATTAACCACCTTAATGCTATTTGTGGGGATGAGGCTAGGTTAGCATTTGGCGAGTTAATCTTTATGTGAAATAAACTAGGGTGGAGATTCATCAGGTGATCCCGCTATTACAAGGTGCAGTAAACTTGGTGAGGAGGGGGGGGGGGGTAATAGGGACCTTTCAGTCTAATACCCCTACTGTGTTTTCCTTTTAATTTATATACATATTAAAAGTTTTATAAAGTAAGTTTAAAATTTAAAGACCAAAATATTTTGAGCACAGCAAAGTTAACCACAGATCTGTAATGTGCAGTTAAGGGTCCAGGAATTTTGGGTGAATTTTTTAGGACTGCGGTCTAATACTGTACCTTAAATTTCCCATTGAAATACACAGAATGATTTAACATGATTCAACACCACCCACACCTGCTGTGCTGATGGTGAAGTGAAAGAATTAAACATTAAACTTTGAGATGACTATCACAGATTCATATCATTCTTGATGGCAATCTTTTTTTTTAAGAAAAGGTAATACTGTACGAGTATTATAACTAATTAAGATGAAACACTTTCAAATATTATTGGTAAAGGTGGAGGAGACAGTTACTACCAGAAGTAACTTATGGATCTCAACCAAAATTCCTGGCACTGAAAACGAAAATGGAAGCAAGAGTATACAGAACCTATTAGAACCTGACCTAACCTTATCTAACATCCTAACCTGTGGACACTTTCAGCAGACACCAGAAAGAAGTTGGAGGCCTTTTAAAAGTGGTGTTATAGGAGAATGCTAATAAAGGGCTACACTGAGAGAAAAACAAATGAAGAAGTACTAAGATTAGCAAGAACTTTAAGAGAAATACTGTACTTGAAATGTACAGAAAAAAGAAAAATGAGATACTTAGTCATATAATTAGGGATGAGGGAATAATAACAAATATCAATGGGCAAAATTGAGGATAGGAGAGCCAAGGGAGCCAGGGGAAGGCAGAGACTGGGCTGGATGAAATAAATTAAGAACTGGGTTCCCAGAGAGATACATAACCTCAGAGGATTGGTAAAAACAGCCCAAGAACATTTAGAGTGGAGGATTCCTTCAACTCCATATGTTCTCGGGCTGTAGTCGCCAACCCACAGATATGAGGAGAGTACTCTGTATAATTGATCTTTAAATTCTGTCACAACTGCAGTTGAAAATGTATTATTACAAACACAAGCAATTGCTCAAGCACGATATAAATTACTTTGGAAGGAAAATGCGGGGGTTATAAAGGTATTTGCTCCCATATTGGCACCAAGTGACAGTCCTGTAACTATTGTACAGCATAACCTAAAGTTACCATAAATGTCTGTGAATATTTGCTTTCAATTGACTGATTAAATTGCAGTTTAAGACACCATGGCACTTTACGAAAGTTGCTATTACTAGTACCAGATATCAAATTAAGTGCTTTCTGCTTAATATGGCAAGAAGTTCAGGGAACAGAGCCTCCCCAGTTAGGAAGCTAGGTAAGGTTTGGTAGGTTTCTTTGGTTGGTTAGGTCAGGTTCTATTAGGTTCTACTAAATCTAGCCTCTTTTAAAATACTTACTCTCATAATAAGAACATCTGTGGAAAAATGAATGAAATCGAACAACTCCTACTGGTGGTAGTGCTGTTCTTAAAAATTACCCAATTATTTTCATCTTCATAACCTCTTAACACAGGCTGACAATACATGACTCGATTTTTACATTTTTTACTTTTATCCTCTTCGCCACTGATCGGCTCGTTAGCCGCTTAGGTGGTCGGTCATGTCTCTGTTATGCACTGTTGGCAAGTACTGGGCATGCACTGGCTCCTGAATATATCTGAACCTGCTCCAGTGCTGGTCAAGTCTGGTCTTGAAAGAGCTCACACTCAGTGCTGTCATAACACTCTTTGGCCGGTCCAACGAATTACCCAAAAGTACCCAAAAGTATATTAAATCAGGGTAAAATCTTAACGAATATATGCTTTACATCAATAAAACCTGATTAATAATGTTTTCATTGAAATGTAGTCAAAATAATGAAATAATAAACAGCGAAAAACGCTAAATTCCAAAGAGTCACCTATCCAAAATGGAGATATAATGACTGATGTTTCTGTTACTTTGGGGTATTTGACATAGCCGTAGGATTTACTTTTTGTTAGGTTAGGTTAGGTTAGGTTAGCGAAGTGCATCTTGATGGATCTGAGTTATCTCCCTTGCTCACGAACTCTTTGGAATTTAGCGTTCGCCAATACTGAAAGTTTTTTGCTATTTATTATTTCATCTTAAAAATTATTTTTACAAAATTACACTAAAAATATTATTAGACATGTTTTGTGTATGTATAACAGATATTCGTTAAGATTTTACCCTGATTTAATACACTTTTGGGTACTTTTGGGTACTTTTGGGTAATTCGTTGGACCCCTCTTTGGCAGGTTGTTCCAAGAGTTCCCAACTTTACAGTTTTCTGGACTTACGGCTTCTTCAACCTTGAGCTGTGACCCCTTGTGGGGCAAGTTCCAAGTTTAGAAGCTCCAAAAGTTGTTGGTAGCGAAAGGCAGAACGGGGAAGATGACAGAGGAAGGAGCAGGAGGTTAGGAAGGGAAGTGTAGTGGAAGAGATAGAGCCGTGGCTTTACACGACTGCGTTTATTTGGATAGCGCATAGGGCACATATTGGGTTTTGTCTGTGTTGGGTGTGTGATCCTCGATTGAGTAGTGCCCTTTGAGAGATTTATACACCTCAATTAGGTCCCCCCCTTATCCGTCTATAGGTTATGTTAGGTTCGAAACTCATCAAATAACATGGGAAAAACATTTTTAATATCCAAACAAAGACCGGTGCATTAGTGAAAACTGACTAAAGGAAAAGCATAATCAGTGTACAAAACTGTAGCATAACTGCAGTTTCGGACAATATGGATCTCGAGTTGAGCAAAGTGTTTTCCTTTTGTTTAGAGTTTAGACAATTTTAAGACACTTCTTTTATAACGTGTCCCTCGCAAATTACTTAAATATACTGGAATCATCATAGAAGAAAAGTGTCTTAAAATTGTGTAAACAATCGGAAAAACACATTGCTCAACTACTAGGGGTAATGTCCACAACTGCAGTTTTACCAAAACTCTTAAGAAAACTCATAATTACTTAACCACTGACGGTCACCAGCCGTATATTTGCCTTTGCTGCTTTATTAACTTTAGAAAATTAATTACTACAATTAAAATAAGCACACACCTGCATCTGCTGTTTCCCATACACAGGTAACGTGGTACTGTAGTTGAGTATTATTTATAACTGTCAAAGGTAACAGCTTCTCTACAGGTAAATTTGTTTGTTTACTAATATTCTGGTTCCTCAGCGTGCGCAGTTCCTTTACCTTTATCGCATTTTACCCTCTATTAATAAGGCTAAAAACGTGTTTTAATGACCTATATATTATGCTAGAATATTTACAATAATCTAGAATGTATTTAACCTAGTCATACTGTCATGTATAAATAAATATATATATATACAGCTGTGTTAAAACGTTTACGTATTAGGGAACATCTTTCCTTATCTATCTTCGACCTCGGGCTCGACCCCAGGAGGTACTGGAGGGAGGCACGCACACTACCGGCTACCTGCCGCTACACTCACTGATAAAATCACACAGAAAAAAGGAAACAATGGAGCACCTTAGCTTAAATATTATAATACATGAGTAACCAAACCACAACTTGAATTTTTGGTTTTGTGTTTGTTTATTTCAATAAAGTTAAACAATATGAATGTCTTTTAATAGCCAAGAACTCTACTGAAAACAAGGTCATTTAGTCCCCAAATTTATGTAACGGCATGACAGGTGTTTCATCACTTGCGGTAATTTTATGATAATTGTGCAAGAGAAAAGATTTTTGTCTTTTAATTTCTGAACTCATCTAAGATCTTGAGGCAATGGAGTATGCATGTATGCATACGTAAATGAAGATTGATATGTCTAAAATAAATGGAATACGTAAAAAACATCACTCATGATGTCACGAATAGCTTTTGGATGCAGCCAATAGATGGCGCTATTATTGAGGTATCTGGCCACTATGCTCTACAAACATTTCATATATATTTTAGTTGGAGCTTTCCTATCTTCAGTAGAGTATCTTTGCACTGGCCTGCACTTTGGTAGGTGCGCGTGACCTTATATGATGCCTTCCACTAGTTCTTCTTACTCATGCTCTTGTTGTTTTCTCTCTCTCTTATTCTTGCTGTTATTTTATTGTTCTCTTTTTATACTCATTATTCTGTCTCTCATACTCATCCTGTTCTCTTACTTATACTGTTCTCCCTCTTTATTTTTGTGGTTCTCTCGCTGAGATGCTTTCTCACTTAGCTTTTCTTTCTTATTCATGCTTTCTCTCTCTCTCTTACTTATGGTGTTCTCTCACTTATGCTGTTTTTACTCATACACTGTTTTCTTTCTTCTTCTCGCTACTTTCTCTATCTCTTGCTCCTGTTGTGATATACTTATTTGTTCACCCTCATCGCCCTCCAGAGTGCAGGTGACCCTGGCCGCCACACACTATGTGTCAGTGCCAGGACCTGTTGCCAAACACATACACCAGCCTTCTCTGCCATTGAGAGGATCCGGAGACTAGTGAGGTAAGGGTCTTTATATGGAGTAAGAGTAACATTCATGTGACATACCTACTACAGAAAGTGAGAACCCTGTCGGTGTGGAGGAGAAGTATTGGTGGAGGAAGAAAAACCCTTTTAGAATTAAAATTTTCTTGTCATTAGTCACAAATCCTTAACCCTCACCTCATGTTCTTCACTCTTTCTACACAAACTGTGGTTCAAGATGATGCCTTGGAAGGAACCATCTACAGTATGTGGTAAATTAATCTTGGGGCAAATATCCTGAAATTTGTTTCTATCATAAAAATTTTATGATTTTTTTTTTTTTTAATATACCGTATAGCAATTTCTATTTATGTGATGGCAAGGGCAGATTCAGGAGGGGGTCAGGAGCCCTCTCTCTTCAGAAAATTCCAATACTTTTTCTTTAATGCAGGATTGTACTCAGACGTTTTTGTATAATAAAAAGTAATTACTATTGACCTCAAAATATCAAATTCACATGGCCTCAAAATGCTCAGCATGGTACACCACCCACAACTTCTTGGACTCGCTTTTTGACATTCGTGGATCCGTCCCTGGATGAGTCTAGTGTCCTTCAGATTTAACTGTTATTTTATTAATGACAAAAGCACATTAAAGTTCAAATATTACAAGGGTAAATACGATGGGATGAGGGGTATTCACTAGCCTGACTCACTAAGATATAAGAATGGAGACACTATGGTGAATATCATAGCCAGTGAAGTGAACCATTTGATCGATAAATATTGTCATAGCCACTAATGAATAATTCTCCTCTTTCAGCATTGCTTCAACTCCTAAGCCCATTAATCAGACTTATATTCTGGACAGGAAAGGAAAATGTATGTTAAATCCAGGAACCAAGCAAAGTTAAGAGTGCAGAAGGGTCAAGTCAAACCCAAAGATAAAGTTGTGTTTCCAAAACCCAGACCAGAATTAATGCTGTATTAGTTCCTAGATGATAGGGGGTTAGGAGGATAATTTGAGTCTCGCACTGTATTTTGCATATCTTACTTTTTACTTTTTTTTACCTATATCCTCTTCACCACTGATCGGCTCGTTAGCCGTTGGGTGATCGGTCACGTCTCTGTTACGCACTGTTGGCAAGTGCTGGCATGCACCAGCTCCTGAATGTACTTGAACCTGCTCCAGTGTTGGTCAAGTCTGGTGTTGAAAGAGCTCACACTCGGTGCCGTCACAACACTTTCTGGCAGATTGTTCCTACGGTTCACAACTCTCACTCAGAAAAAGTTTGCCCTCACAGTTTTATGGAACTGTGGCGTCTTCAGCCTTGAGCTGTGACCCCTTGTGAGGACGAGCGTCCGCCAGCTCCAAGTAAGGACACTCAACTGAGTAGTTCCCCTCGAGATGCTTACACTGTACACCTCAATTAGGTCGTCCCTTGCCCGTCTGTAGAATAAGCTAGGCAAGTTCAGGCGCTCCAATCTCTCAGGGTAGCTGAGGTGCCAAAGTGCAGGCACCAGCCTGGTGGCCCTCCTTTGAACAGTTCCAATCAACTGAGTTCCTAGTATATCTCGGGGACCAGTACTCCAGACGGGGAAGCACTTCACTCTTGAAGATCGTTACAAGGCACGGACCGTCGAGATATCTGAACGACCTTCTTATAAGACCTAATAATTTATTTGCCTGATTTACCTTCTTCTCGCAATGGCCCGAGAACTTCAGCTCATTGTCAACATACACACCTAGGTCCTTCTCACGTTCAGTCTCAAATAATGCAGTTTCTTCATCCAGTTGGGACATATAATACGCATCCTTACCATTGGTAAGCCCCAGGTGCATCCTCTTACACTTCGTCACATTGAATCTCAGCAGCCATTTCTTCGACCATTCTTGGAGCTCACAGAGATCCTTCTGTAACGCTTCACAGTCCGCTTGGTTCTTGATTTCCCGAAATAACTTGGCGTCATCCACAAACATTTGTGTGGAGGAGTGTGCAGTCAGGCATGTAATTTATGAAACAAACAAAAAACAGCAGACCCAATACACTGCCCTGCGGTACCCTGCTTGTGACAGGTACAGATGATGATTTCGTGCCATTAAACACCACACACTGCTTGCGGTCATGTAGAAAGTCTTCTATCCACGCTAGGACATTTCCTCGAATTCCGTACCCTTTCAGTTTGATTTTCAGCCTTTCGTACAGTCGAAAGCCTTGGCAAAATCTAGGTATATATTGTCTATATTACCACCCTATTCTAAAATATGGGTTCAAATATCCAATACCTTGAGCAATTGTGTTAAGCAGGAGCGCCCCGGCATAAAACCGTGTTGGCAATCCTTTACAGTACAAGGTTGTTTCGTAGTAGATGAAGATACCGGGTGGTCATCAGCTTTATCACCCAGTATATGCACTGTATAGTCTCAGTGATGAAAATTTCCCTGAACTCACTGTAGCTTCTTTCCATTTTGCACTTGTCTAAACAACTTAAGTTTCATATAATGGATGCGACAATACTCCAGTTTATTGATAGAAGGGTGTATATTTCTCAAATTTTCGATGAGAAATAAAAGGAATGCTGGTACAGATTGTTATTAGATCCATTACTCTTGCTGAGGCTATTTCCTCAACAAGGATAAGTCATTGCTTGCCATTTTTAAAGATACAAGTACTGTACTTTTGAAGCTACATCATTAGTAAATGGAACTAAACTGTAACAAACATTAAATCTATGTTATAATAGTTACTTTTTTCTTTAGCTAGCAACCATTATGAAACCACTGGCAGTAACTTTATATCTATATCAACATAAAGCACCTGTTGCTATATTTGATCTTCAGCTGTGACTGTGACCTCTTACTAAAGACTTGGATTTTGTGTGAAGTAATATACTGTACTTTATTATTGATGATACATAATAACGTGAAGTTCCATGTCGCTACACACCATATATTGAAACAAAGAGTTAACTTTGGTCAAGGTAAACATAACAGACACTGTCACCACACACTTAAGACACAACAAAACCACTCCATAATAAGTGTTGAGTCGATCTGTTAAAACTGCCAAAAGACCCCTCAGCTTAGGTTTCACAGTGCAGGATAGTAGATATACTGCCTCCATCAGTTATCTGAGAATTAATACCTAAACTTGGAGTTTTAATTACACCCAACTTCGACCCCGAAGACTGTATCATAAATAGGGTTCAGGAATAAGGCCGAGGTCTTGTTTTGTTTTTAACACGGAAAAATCATCACATGAATAGAAACTGTGGCACCGTAAAAGTGGAAATTTCTATGTATCCTCTGGTAACTTCATAATAATTTTCCCCAAACACCTTTTATTGTCTTTCGAAAGGATGTGTTTCTGAATACTCGCATACATTTCCTTTTTTCTTCACCCATCTCTTCAAAAATTTCCTCCTTTTTTTACACCTCCATTTTTCACGACTTCCTTTGCACCTTCTCTAATTCTTAATGGTTACTTCCCACTTTTCACCTTATTGACCTATCATCCCATTTACCTCTCCTTCTTCTTTACTTCATTTGTCCATTTTGTATTGACAGAGAATGACTTTGAAGTTCACTAAGTACAGTTATGTACGTACAGTAGTATTCCTCTGAAGGTTTTGCTGAAGTTATAAGTATATAGAATAGTTTCTGTAATATTAAAATGTAACTGTTACATGACAGGTCCTGGGAAGTACAGTGCTGAGGAAGACATGTCGAGGGTGTGCTCTACTGTGGTGCTGGTGTTGGTGACCGCCACTACCACTAGTGCCAGTCTGGAGGAGTTCCTGGAATTGTTTTGGGAGGATGCCATGAAAGACGACCTCCCAGATTATCCGAACAACTTCCTGAATACCACTCTGGGAAGTCAGGAGGATGGCCCACCAGAATACCTGAAGGTATTTCTCGGAGATCAGGAGGGTAGCACTGGAGATAATTCTGATTATTTTTTGAGACGCATCATGAGAAATGTGAAAGCCAGCACGACAAGGATGGAAAGGGAAATGGAAGAGAACATCAAAGAAATCTGTAGTTGCTTTAAAACTCCATTCCCCAGCCAGTCCTGCACCCGTACTCTTTTGGTAATTTTACTGTTGTACACCTATTCTTACGTAGGAAATATCTTGATTTTGTTATTAGTATTTTTCTTATGCATTCCATAGTACTGCACTGTAAAGGTGTAATTTAGGCTCACGAGTTTAATAATACAACCTACTGTAGTTTGCTTTCTCCAGGATTGTCACTAAAACTTTTGTGTCTCCTGTATTGTTATGAATATAAATACAGATCCGATGGAGAAACAAGGAAAAAGTACAGTAAAGTGTTTGAAATATTGGGGAAATGGCAAGTAGACCTTGGTCTCCATGCCTTCAGCACTTCCATGACTTGCCAGAAGATATCATTCTACTATGCTTGATATTAGCCACAATAAACCCCTAGCAATGGACACTTCAAGTTTACCAGTACTGTGCAGATACTCAGTAGTTTGGTGATGATGTTGAAAATTTAGCAAAGTGCTAAAGACACAGAGGAAATGGCTCACTTCTCTTTTTCTGGATGAATTCAAATTTGTTTTTTTCTTTAAATCCTCACCAGATTTGCATGTTATACATTAAAAAAAAAAATACTTAAAAAAATCATATAGGTACAGTACTGTACTGTACTGTACAATTTTAAAGTATTAACATTGCACAAGGAGTCCTAACTGGATATGTATGCAAACAAATAATATTAATACTGTAGTAATAATAGTAATTATAATAATTAATTATAATACAGTATTATATATACAGTACTGTACTGTACAGCTTCACACACCTGAAAAAATAAACTTCAAAGAAAGATACCTTTTTTAAGGTTAGCAGAACCTGATATATACTGTACATTTATCTCAAGGAAGTATTATGTAACATTTAGTATCATCTGGAAAAGTACACATAACATGGTACTGCATTAGTAAGAACACATAAGAATGTTACCACGATTATCACTTCGTTACTTAATTATTTTATTTTATTTTTTATGCACAGTATTTATAAGTACTGTGTATATATATATATATATATATATATATATATATATATATATATATATATATATATATATATATATATATATATATATATATATATATATATATATATATATATATATATATATATATTACAGTGGGTTGTATTAAGGTGAAACAGGGGACAGAAACAGTCAGGATCATGTTTTCACAGCAAATATATAATTACTGCAATGGTAATTACTATCTATCTGTGATAATATATGATATACGGTAATGGTTTTGGTAGTAAAAGAGAATAAGAGTATACTGTAAAGTAAATGTTATAAAAATATTATTACTTGGACAATAAATTATGTGTCAGTTTGGAGTGTACTGTGTTGTTTAGCTAATGGTTTAACACTCTCCCAGCAGAGCTTTGGAACTATAATCCTCAATGGCAAATGCATCGGTGGGAACATAAGACGACGTAGGCAACAGAATCAAAGGGTAAGTCCAAGCTGGGTCCTTATGCAAATCCATGTGTAGTAGGTAGTAGGCAGCTACCAAACAGGGAAGTACTATCACCTGGGAAGATATTGGAAGCATAATGTATTGTCTAATGGTAGACCCTGCTGCCATATGGCATCACGAAAATTGTGACCAAGTCCCAGGTTACTTATCTGACTTTCTGCCTCATTTGTACACAATTGAAAGGTTTCAATTGTTTCCCTGACAACACAACATACAATACATATAACGTTTCCCACTACAGTATTGATCTTATTTTTTATCTTTGTATTTATTGATTTATTATTATTATTATCATTATTATCTTATTATATTATTATTATTATTATTATATATTATAATATTTTTAATTTTATTTTTTATTAATTTTTATTAATAATTATTATTATTATTATATTTTTGCCTCCAGGCCCTGATGTGGGTCATTGACCTGAGCCCTAGTGGGCTAATCCCATTTATATAAAAAAAAAGCCAGTGCACCACTTCGACAAAAAATGGTACCAGTATGAGTCCAGCCAGGGTACTAGCATGAGTCCAGTTTGAGAGTCCAACCACTTGACTGGTATGAGTAAGTCTAGTCCACAGGATACTGGTGTAAGCGAGTTCAGCCTGTCAGCCACCAGGACGTGTCCAGCCCGTAGGGTATTGAGGTGACTTTAACAATAATATTGTTTTGTTTTTTAATGGTTGAATTTAAGTTTATCAGCAGCACTTGTATAAGTCCATCAGTAGCACTGGCATAATTCTGTCAGCAGCACTTGTGAAAGTCCATGAGAAGCACTGGCATAAATCTGTCAGCAGCACTTGTGTAAGTCCATCAGCAGCACTTGTGAAAGTCCATCAGAAGCACTGGCATAAGTCTGTCAGCAGCACTTGTGTAAGTCCATCAGCAGCACTTGTGAAAGTCCATCAAAAGCACTGGCATAAGTCTGTCAGCAGCACTTGTGAAAGTCCATCAGCAGCACTGGCATAAGTCTGTCAGCAGCACTTGTGTAAGTCCATCAGCAGCACTTGTGAAAGTCCATCAAAAGCACTGGCATAAGTCTGTCAGCAGCACTTGTGAAAGTCCATCAAAAGCACTGGCATAAGTTTATCAGCAGCACTTGTGAAAGTCCATCAGCAGCACTGACTGGTGTAAGTCCATCAGTAGCACTGACATAAGTCTATCAGCAGCACTGGTGTAAGTCCAGCAGCAGCACTGACTGGTGTAAGTCCATCAGTAGCACTGGCATAAGTTCATCAGCAGCACTGGCATAAGTCTGTCAGCAGCACTAGTGCAAGTCCATTGCCGGCATTGGTAAGTCCAAAATAGCATTATGTAGCCTTAAGTGGTACTAAATGCTCTAGGACACCATCATCATTCAGGTAGAGTATAACACCATAGTAAGTCAGTAACTGTACTTGGGGGATCTCCAACCACACCTTTAGTGTAAGTCGAAAACCAATGAGTCACCTCTAGATAAAGTCAAGTGCCATCATAGGTAGGAGTAAGAACCATATTTCAAAATGAGGACATCGTTTCCATTTTCCTGGTTTCATTCATAATTCTAATATTGATTTACATAAATTTTACAACTTAACTATGAACTGAAAATAAATTCATTTTGCCATTTTTAAAAATTGCACACAATTCATATGCAATTTTCAAAATATTCTTTTTGATTCTTATTGTTACTAACCTGTATATTTTTGTACAGAAATGACTAAGAATGAACATAGGTGATGAATAAAAGGAGCATCAGAATTTTAAGAGTTTGTTTTTACAGAGAGAGGTGGAAAACACACCGCAGTCTTTTGGCAAAGAAGAAGAATGGTGTCAGGGCTTCAACAGGTTCATCTTTGTTTCATCTGGTAGAAAAACCGAGCTGAAAATAAGCAGTGCATCTTCCCTCATAATATGTCATAAAAGCATCAAACCTCATCTGGAGCATCTGACTATCTCAAGTGTACAAGAGATCAAGGTGTCTCCAGAAGCCATTATGCCTCGATCCATCAACCTTATGTTACATTTGACTAACATCAGGCACAAGTTTACATTACTTCAAAATGGGTTCTTAGTAAAAAACAATACCTACAATCAACCCATACCCAATAATAATCTTGAGTTGAATGATGTTCCTTTACCCCCAGTAGAAGTGCAATTGGTCATAGACACAGCAGAAGAAGTTGAATTTAAGACTGGAAGTCTTGTAGCACCACGGTTATCTGTCAGCTTGATTAATGTCAGTCGCATACACATTGATCCTCAAGCAATCATATCATACTCTCATCCACAGGCATCCTCCCTTAAAGTAAACCAAAGTAAGTCCCTCATACTAGAAACTCTCTCTACTAGAATAGGAAACTTTAAAGCTACAGATATAAACCAGATTACATTGAAGGAAAAATCGTTAGCAATGATACCTGATGGAGGTGCAATAAGCCTTGAGTACATTGGAAATGCAATTCTATATGGCAGTGCATTGACCCTGTCTCCTAGTATGTCTCTAACATTAAGGAATGTGAGTATAGCTTCAGCCAGCCGCCGATCCATAATCATTGACAACACAACATTAGGATCTCTTCGTTTTCTTTATTTACAAAATGTTCGTGGTGCTAACTTAGAAAGTGGTGCATTATGTCTTGTGGCTGAAAATGTAATGACTCAGAACTTGGTGCTGGAAACAGAAAACAACACCATTGCCGTGTGCATCCAGGATGAGTCAGTGGAGGGTGAGAGAGAATTGAGGGTGTGGAATGGAGCAATACTGTGCACAGGAAGAAGACACACCAACCTCCTGTGCAATGACCCCCGGTGTGCCTCGTGCCTTCCACAACTTTCAGGTTAGTACTTAGTTATCATCCATAGCTAAGCATGTGTGTGGTGTGTGTGTGTGTTGCTTTCAGTTTTTATTACAGCATGCCTAGCTACAGTCTTGTATCTTCATGTAAAAAAGGAATTGTGGCAGTAGTGTTGAATATAAATATTCATAAAAATGTTGTGTAGTGTTAGGAGTCGCTATTAAAACTTATTGTTTGGTATGTCTTTGTGTATATGTGACCTCATGAATATATAAAAATGCTGCATTAACAGGGATGGGGCAACTGAATGGATACAATGCTCACCTCCTGTCTTAATGAATGCTAGTGTATACCTGGGACACCCCCAGTCTGTCTCGCTGTGAGTAGGTACTGTACCTAACTTCACAGCTGGGGAATTGAAGACAATCCAATGCATTTGTAGTCATACTGCCTCCTAGTGTACTGAAGGCTTAGTCTTGTGTATTGGCTTTACTCTGTAGTGTCTGCACATTTGGGACCCACCTTCATTGTATTAACACTACAGTCAACCCTCACTTTACGCGGTTAATTTAACCCACAGGGTCCCGCGGAAAGTGAGGAACGCGTAAAGTGAATAACATAACATATGGGATTAATTGAAATAGAGTCCGGGCCGACCCCCAAACTCCACTTTTTGACGACACACAACTATGTTGTAGTAAAAATTTTATCTTCACTTTATGATGGTATGAAAAAACAAGTAATATAGAAGAGGTTAGGTTAGGAAAAATAAAGGTTAACATAGGAAAAATAAAGGTTAGGTTAGGAAAACTAAAAGTTAGGTGGAACACTTACGTTAGTAGAAGGGATGGGTCGGCATATGGGGATGGAGGCTGGTTCCGAGGCAGAGGGCAGGCTACTGGCCCTCAGGTGAATCACCATTACTAGGTGCATCACCATCACTGTCACTTACAGTTGTCAGGGCTTCCCTGACAAATCCCTCAAAGTCATCTTCACTGTCACTATCACTGGCTTGGGCTGGCTGTGGTGGGTTGCGGGCGAAGAAATCTGTTATGCTTTGCTGACGGCTGGTGTTGATGTTGTCGTGATACACCTTGATGTAGGGCTCCATAGTCTGCAACAGCTGGGTAGTGAAGATTTCATACCTGTTTGCGTCAGGGTCGTCGGAAAGGAGGAGCTTGGCTTTCTCGATACACTCGATGGCACCCCTAACATTACTATGGGATAAGTGTTGTTCTTCTTGGGATGACGCACCACCTGCCTCTTCACTGACGTCGTCATCATCATGTACCATCTCCTCGGTAGTCACATCAGGTTCCATTATCACCTCCATGATGTCGTCGTTGGTGGTCTCGGAGAAGCCTGGAACTGTAACACTCTGCGCAGCTTCTCTGGCAAGGTCCACTGCTACTGCAACAGTCTGAACCTCACCAGTCACAGATTGACTCCTCCTTTCACCTGGTATTCCAGGCAACACATGTCTCCATGCGTGACGAATTGTAGCAATAGACAGCTGATCCCATGACTCCACCAAGATGTCCACAGCTTTCTTGATGTTAAATACTCTCCAGAATTGTTTGAAGAGTATTTTTTGCTGTGCCAACTGTTGATCCTCATCTTCTTCGCTCTTGCTATCGGTGGTGGTGTCACTCAGGTTACGCAACTCTTCCCTGGTGTTGGTGTAGTCGTTCAGAAGTTTGAATTTTTTCGTAGAGAATGCAGCTTTTACATTACAGATTAACTCTTGGTCCATGGGCTGTAATATAGACGTAGTGTTGGGAGGAAGGAAGACCACTTTAACGTTGGGGTGACGATCTAACAGTAGGGGCGAGTGTCCTGGTGCGTTGTCCAGCAGCAACAAAATCTTGAATGGCACATTCTGTCGCTCACAGAATTTCTTTACATCGGGAACAAAACAGTCATCAAACCAGGAGAGGGACAGTGTAGAGAACATCCACGCCTTACGTGCGGTCAGCCAGTGGACATTTAGCTTGGTCATGTCCATGGTTTTGTAGGCGTGCGGCTTGCGTGCTGTGTGGATCACCGATAACTTGAGCTTACTGGTACCGGAGGCATTGGTGGTAAACAGGACGGTGATGCGTTCCTTCTGCATCTTCCGGCCCCGAATCTTGCTGGCATTCTTTACAACGAAGGACTTGGAAGGTAGCTTTTTCCAGAAAAGACCAGATTCGTCCATGTTAAACACCTGGTCGTCACTGTACTGTCCTTCCTCCATAATCTCACGTAAAAACGGAGGAAATTCCCTAGCCGCAGCACGGTCAGCACTCGCTTCTTCACCACCAATGTTTATATTGGTGATCTTGTTCCGGATCTTAAACCTCTGTAACCACCCAGAGGAAGCATTAAAGGGTTTGGGCTCTGTAATTCCCATCTTTCGTGCCACTGCAATGTACAGTTCATGTGCGTACTCCTTAACAGAGCGCGTGTCGACCGCCATGTTCCGTCGCGCCTGACGCACCAAGTACCTCACAAGTAATTTTTCTGTCTTGAGAAGCACCTGGTTGTGAAAATACTTGATCATAGAAGCACCTGTAGACTTTGTGATCTTCATGTGCTCCTTTATCTTGGCTGCATCCTTCTTTATTGTTCGAATCGTAGATTCATTCACACCATGCTGGTGCGCCAAATCAACCTGCCTTGTTCCTTTCTCCAACTCTTGGATGATGGTATACTTCACCTCGTAGCTTAAGGAACGTCGTGTCTTCTTTGGCTTAGTGCCGCTGGGTCCAGGTAAGGAAAGGTTTCTCTCTGGGGGTGGTGGTCCGGCGGAAGCCATTTTACAGAACAATGGATACACGTTTACACGGTCTGGCGTGGAGGGATGAAACTGGCGCGGCTAGGTCAAGCATCGTCTTTCCTCCCTCCCTACCTCCCCTGGGTGGACACGTCATAATACTTTAAGCCAATTACAGCTAGCAGCAGAGGGGGGTAGGGATGCATGGCCAATCACAGTCCGATACGTCATATGACGTCAGTGATAACGCAACAAAGACACACACTGCGCAACCTTACAGCGCGGCTTGCCCAGGCGGAGGGAGGAGGAGGGAGAGGCAAGAGCACAGGCAGACAGGCAGGTGGGGCGAATCTAAAAATAGCGTCGCGCCGGACACTCTCCGCGTAATGGGGTTCACGCACCGCGTAATGTGAGCACGTTAGGTTCTGGCAGGGCACCGCGTTAACGTGGAAACGCAGAATGTGGGACCGCGTAAAGCGAGGGTTGACTGTACTATATAGCTAATGGATGAGAGGAAGGAAAAGGGATGAAGAAGAATGAAAAAAAAATTTGGTTATGAGGATAAAGGAGGAGAGTTACTGAGCAGTGCAATATGCTCATACAGTTTTTATATTCTACATTAGTTAACAATTCTAATAATGCAGTGTTCCACGAAGATTTAGTCTAATTTACCTGTTGGCATACAAGTTGTCTAGTGTTGGGGGCTAACTGTAAGCCACATTATCCCCTGAAGTACCTGTATCAATCTATTTGTTTAATGTTCTACCCATCATGTCTATTTACTAGACTGGCTTCAATTAAACATTTACAGGGTGTAGCTCTTATGTTAATTTTAAACTACAGTACTATACAATAGTTCAGATTTTATTACGCCATTTGCTCAACTGATTCCCTTAATTATATTTCTATAGAATTAATGTTGACAATTTTGTGCTGTGATACTGAGGAACATGTCATTTTGTATATTATAAACATCAAAGTTTATTCTTATAACTTTTGATGTATGTGCAGCCTCAACAATAGACTTCCCAGCACCCTCATACTCCTCTTCAACCTCGGCAAGTGACTCAAGCTTCACAAAAGGTATAGTACTTGTTTTAAGATGTACGTACACATTTTTCAGTTTTGTACAACATACTGTACTCTTTTGGATGTTGAGTTCCTGAAAGTGATAGGCCAGTGGAGGGAAGTTGAAACAACCAAATACAGGTGTACTGTACTGGAAGTCAGGGATTTGATTCTCTCATGTGTTAAATCTTCCTCAAGACTAAAGATGTGAGAAAGCATTTTAATGGCTCCCTTGAGCTATGGCACAGACAAATGCCACAAGTTGTCTGAAATTCTGCCTTACCTATATGTGTGTTCTTGTGCCCAATTAGCAAAAAGAATTTAGCTTCCAAATCTTTTAAGAATCAATACCCAGGTCTGTGATCAGTAGGATTTCCGATGATGATAAATGTATTGTACGGTAGTGATTTGGTGTGTACTGGGTGTAGGGCAATTCACTCTGGTGTAAGCAAGTGAGACTTGGGCTCAACACAGTAAATTCACTACTAAAATGTAAGAAGTTCAAGTGTCTTTCTCCAAGAAGTGAAGACCTGAAGTAGAATTCTATAAACACCTGAAGTCATTACTCTGTCAAGTGACCATATCTGGAGGTGGCAGATGCCTGCCTCACTAGAAGTCACAGTATAAGGTCGAAGAAGCCACAAGTTAAAAAATTGTCAGCTTAGATCTGCAAACAACAATGGACAGTGAGAATGAGTGTGGTAGCCTTGTAGTATTGCTTACACCCCTCACCCACCAATTCCCGCACACATGGCAGCAGGAAATTTGAAAATTAATTATCTTCCAAATGCAGTTAAGGGGTATTTGATGCAGTTAAAAAGTAGTAATGCATTGGCTTTAATTAATAAAGCATGGTAAAACCCTGGCTCGGATAAACGATCAACGGTAAAGTTATTGTCTACTGTAATGCAATAAAATAACTACAATACCTTAAAAATAATCCGAAAGAATACAGTGTGTGTGAGTGAGTGTGCATGCATGTGTGAGTGAATGAGTGTGTGTAGGTATGTGCACAACATTTGTAAATGAGTGTAAACATTTAAACTAACATTTACCATTGCCATATGGAGAATTCTAGAGCGTTCAACATGTTTTTTGATGCCGTATTTAGGAAGTACAGGTACAGGCATGGGTTGAGCATCTCCTGTGCATATTGTGTGTGAACAGTCCCATTGAAATTCATTAATTTCTAAACAGTGCAGGAAAAATCTCTCGTGTGAATAGTGACTTAGAGCAAAATATGAGAGCTGCAACTAGCCTGCAATGTTTGAAATATTACTGTAGGGTATCATAATTTTTTTGTGAATAAGCGGGATATGTTTTATGAATAATGAATAGCAGTGTTAAGATGTCAATTGAGGATAAGTGGGGTTGTGAAAGGCGAGGCATTCCTGTATTGCACTGTGTTCCAAAAGCATTGTACAGTACTGTACTGGGTTAGGTTGTGATGTTATAATGTTGTCATAATCTTGTACAGTTTATTCATTTTCTATTTTACCACCATTATTGTTTGGGATAAACTTATTTGGACCCAAAAAATGTAATTCTCCCATGAAGATGAAATAATTTATTCTCATACTGTAACTTTCCCTTCAACAGTTGACTCACCTGAGAGCCTTGGAAACCATAATGAAACTGACTCACTCAACTCATCTGTTCCTCATCAAGACATAGGAGGAATGCTTTTGTATCCAGTAATAATTCTTATTATTGTTGCTGGAATTAGTATTTTAACCGTATGCTGCATTTGTAAACTCCGTAAACGTAATCGGGTGAGCCTTTTTGATCAGTTGATATGCATCCTGTATCCCTAAATCATTGTCTGAATCATGACAAGAGCAGTTGTAAATAAGTTAAGAATTTACAGAAGTGACAAAATTATCAACTTTGATAACATGATTAATGCAAATTTTTTTTTGAAAAGTCATGATTTTCAGAACTGTAATTAATAATTTGCCCTAAAATTACAATAATTCATGTAGATAAGAATATTTATAATGCAAGAGCCTTTCAAAAGTCGAAATTTATTATTTTGTTATTCATTAGTACTAAACATAAATTTCCACCCACCACCAGAGTGCAAAGTACGAGCTGCCTCAACCTGTCCCCAGCTGTACTTTCCAGAGGAACATTGTCACTGCTGATACACTTAGCAGAACTGAACAACTAGACATAAATACCATTTCTGCTGAGATATATGTCCCTCTCAGTGAGTCTCAGTTCCATAATAGGCAAGAACTGCCCAGTGATGCATCCATTCCACCAATCAACTTCCATCTGCTCCCTGCCACTGACTACAGACCACCTACTACTACTGATAAAGTGCCTGATGATGAAGACACTTTGGCTGAAACTAATCCTCTTTTTAATGATCCAAATACACATGGTAGTAATGATTATGAACCTAACATCCCCACACCACCACCCAATGGCCACACATTATCTGATTTCCACACATCTTGTGTTGACAGTTATGAGCTGTCTGCTGATGCCTATACATCACATTCTGATGGTGAGAGCCAGCAGATCTGAATGAAGGGGCTTTTTACCTTCAAGGCAAAAATATACCCCAATTCCTTCTAAAGCACCATAACATTTTCTTCTTTCGTTTAGAAATTAGAATTGATGTGCTTCAAAGCTTAATGAATCGTATCCTTCTCAGAGATTGATATGCATTTTTATGGTAATACATAATAAGAGAGCTCAGGCTCTCAATTGGCTCAGCCATGTCAATATTGTTATTATTTTCCACTCTGTATCTGTATTTTTCTGGTGAAATAAAGTTTCAATAAAAAAAATAATAATAATAATTACTGGTATCTACAAATTTATTGATAATTCCCATTATAAAATTGGTTGTACAATCGAAAATTTAAGTACAATTTTCCCTGATAATGATATTAAATTTAATACAGTACAGAAGTGTACTAAGGAAATTTGATAAAATTTACAAATAAGACTATGTATCAACATCCAAAGTGTTATACTGTATATGTCTTATATCTTGTATTTCTCACAAAGGTAATTCAATGCAGATGCACTGCTCTAAATATATACTACAGATTACAAAGCTATTGCACTTAAACACAGAAGCACCATTACACTGATCTATAATACATTACAGTATATTAATTTCATTATTACTTATATTGCAATTTTGACTCAAGATAAATAGGCCTAGAACGACATGGGAGAGGTTGTAAGAAATAATATCGAGTTAAGAGCCTGAAAAAGAGACTCCAAAGAGACTGTGCAACATGGAGAGCAGCCATTAGGTAATCGTGGCCAAACTACACAAGTGTGGAAAATGGCTGTAAATTGTTGATGAAAAGTTCAAAATTGCACAATTTTATTTAAAAAATGTCAAAATGACCAACGAGGCATTGTTTGTGCTACTGTATAATGTTAGAAGAAAATGAGTACCAGTAGCACACTAAAATATTATATTCACTATCTAAACATATGCTGTATGTCCATTGCTATGTAAGGAATGTCATAATACATTACAACACACTTTGATAAATTTTTGACATTAGTGTACAGTGAAGCCTTTCCTGTAGGTCCCCGACTTAGGAACATCTGAAATACGAACGCCCGTCAATACGAACGGGGTTAAACTTGAAATTTATAGTACTGTATTTTATTGAGCCGATGACTTATTTTTTACTTTCATTTATTGTATTTTGTTATTCTATTTCTTCTTTTCTTTTAAATTAAGTGATTTCAGATGTATATATGACCTTAAGCTATGATATAGTGGGATTTTAAATATTGTTCTGTAAGTACGGTATGCACATAACATGTGTTCCGACTTATGTACAAATCCGACTTAAGAACACCCTCAGGAACAGAACCTGCTTGTAACCAGGGGACTACCTGTATTTAATGGATGATATAGGGAGGAAAGTCCATTATATCGAGGGACCGTTAGATGTGAAACCCCCCTTCCGACGGACTATGGAGGTTTCACTGTTCAGTACAGTACTCGGCTGGATACATTTTGTTTACACTATGGATAAAATTATTTTTTTTTAAATATTAGATACCCGGTATATAGGTATAATGCAAAATTTAGCAATACAGTACAGAGTACTGTAAAGTAAAATAATGGTGGAATTAATAGTATCAGTATTGAGTACAGTATTGTCCAAAATCTCTGGTGATAGAGTAATTAAATTGTTTTATTTTTAATAAATGGTTTATTTTACTTATGTAATAAACTTATCTACTTTTTCAACCTATTTTTAGTTTTTTGTTATTTTTACAATAAAATGATATTTTGAATATTGATAGAAAATCAACCTAATAGATGAAAAGAACCTTTAAGCCATTAACAAATGAAGAACTTGCTTTTCAACATAGTTTTGCATTAAAGTTTTAATATGATATGGGTATGTAATGAAACACTGGAAATTTCAACTTATTTTCTTTGCAACAATTCATTAATCTAGCACATAAAAAAAAAAAATTAAATAAAAATAAAACCTCCAGTTTTCTCTTCTGATACACTCCAGCACAAATCCATATTTATTTCCCCAAACAAATGTACATAAGTACTGTATGTGACACTAATACTGTGGATATTATACAGATAACAACCACTAAAAGCTATATAACCATCTCCCTGAAACCTTATAGAAAATACACAATCACACTTCTCTGTTTCCTACAAGTACACAACTGTAACCACAAAACAGAGAACCCACTTACAGGATAATATGGAAGAAATAAATCTCCAATTTCATCATATTCAGGAATAATTACAGTACAGTATTAGCAATAACTTGTTCTCCATATGTCTAATTGGTTCCTAATATATTAATAATAATAATATGTAAGTATGTAAAAACAAGCCCATGAGGAGACAGGTGAGCACAAGGCTGATGTTGGTCATAGCCTGGGTTTGGCTAAATCAACCATTATTACTATTTTCAAGAATACCTTTATAAGCAAGATAAGGCTTCTGCCCAATCCACCACTTCATTTACAGCAACCAACACAACTCATTCAAGGAGGAATTCCCTTGCTACCATATAGGAGCAAGATTGTGTTTGGAGCAACGGCACATAGTGGTAATTTTTATACAAGATCCGACCTATGCACTATTGAATATGGTATGTAATTTGTTTTTATTATGTTCGCTATGACTAAAAAGTACTAATTTTAATTGAATAATATTTTAGCACATTTACCATGTGTGTAGTATCATTATTAGTGCTATTATTCATGCCTTATGAAGCACCCATATATCACTAGTAAGTAAGCAATAGTGCTGTCTCATTCAAATCATTAATGTAATCATGTTATACATGTACAGAACTGACCTTTTAAGGAGTTGTTTATTATGGCACTTCATTTTCTGGTATTGATAAATATTTTCCAGAACCATTTTTGTCTCGACAAAAGGCATGTTACATTTGTATAGAACACAATTGAACTGGGCCTTAAAGAGAACCAGGCCTCATGGAGATCCTGGCCTTGTGGAGATCCTGGCCTTGTGGAGATCCTGGCCTTGTGGAGACCCCTGCCTTGTGGAGATCCTGGCCTTGTGGAGATCCTGGCCTTGTGGAGATCCTGGCCTTGTGGAGACCCCTGCCTTGTGGAGATCTTGGCCTTGTGGAGATCCTGGCCTTGTGGAGATCCTGGCCTTGTGGAGATCCTGGCCCAGTTGGGTTATATAATAAATGGATGGTAACATCACAGTTTGTCTGCTTCCATTTAGGCTTCTTCTCATAATGACTACTACAGGATTACCATTATAACTACAGTACTGTACTCTACAGATATCATGTCTATTCTGCAGACAAAACACTAAAGAATGATAAAAGTTAAATAAAGTTTTAACATTAAATACAGTGATTAAAAGCATAGATTTTAATTAAAAAGAACACATATTTATAGGCCACACATACAAAAATTACAATTCAGATAAATAAAAGTATACTGTACTGTGTATTTATTTGAATTAAGATTTTTGTGAGTGGCCTATAATTGTTTTTAAATTAAAATCTTAGTTTTTCAAATATGAAATATTTTCCTTTATGGTTTATCTGAATTTTATCTGCAGAGTTGACATAGTAACCATTCTGAGAGTAAGTGAACTGGAATGTTACCATCTACTTAATATAGACCCCAACAAAACCTGCCTTATTCAGTATACAAGTGTAGATAAAGGTCGGGTTTGGGCAAGGCCGAGATCTCTACAAAGCCAGGATCTCCATGATGATGGGTAAAGATGGTGCCCAGTTCACTACTGTTCTATACACAAGTAACACACCAGTTGTTGAGATGAACACAGTTCCAGAAAATATTTATTGATACCGGAAAATGAGTGACATTTTTGGAGAAATACCATAACATTCTTAATTCCAGTTACGGTACTGGAGATTTCCAGTAACCAGAAATTCTCGCGCTGGTATCACATTAACACCATTAATGTGTCATAATAAATGAGTTACTCAAACCCAGCATTAGGTGATAATGTATTCTAGATGCATTCCTGGACCATGGAATATGTTTTATACAAAAATTTTTATTGCTGATCAAGATGATTACAACTACATTTTAAGTACAGCAAATGCAGCATTTGGATTTGACCTCTGGTTGCCTTCCATGTTACCTGCTCTGGATAGGAAAGTCAGGATATTGACCACAAATGGCAAATGATCAGATGAGTCAGGTCACATCAATAAATCATAAGGCTCAGTGCCTTCAGGTCAGTCACAGATCCTCTGCTGATGATGCGTTTGGTCTTATTCTGTAATTGAACTAGCAATCCTTTTGGGTATCCCGGATTTGTGGGTTCATACAAAGGAGTGTTAGTTACAAAACTAGCAAGGTCATCCTAAAACTATATCTTGCGCTTATGAGACGTCACTTGGATTACGCAGTTCAGTTCTGGTCACCATACTACAGAATGGACATAGAACCGAGAAAGAATTCAGAGGAGAATGACAAAACTTATCCCAAGCATTAGGAACCTTGAGTACAGACAGGTTAAAGCAGTTTAATCTGCACTCCCTCGAGAGACGTATAGTGAGGGGCAATATGATCGAGGTGTACAAATGGAAGTCAGGGCTAAACAAAGGTGATATAGCAAAGGGACTAAAACTATCCAACCAGGAGTGAACTCGTAACAATGGTTTTAAATTAGACAAATTTAGATTTAGGCGTGACATAGGTAAACATTGGTTTGGAAATAGAGTAGTGGATGAGTGGAACAAGTTACCAAACATCATCTTTAACTCAAATAAGCTGGATAGCTTATTGCACCTCAACCATGTCGAGCTTGTACCCATGATGTTCTAACAGTATAGTCTGTCGCCAGAGTCTCCATTACTGCACTCAATGGAGACCCCATTGTAAGCTCACTGTGCTTGGTATATTCTTCTCCTTTGAAGGTGAATGGGCCGAATTTACACACAGCGAGACCAATTTTATATAGTCCCCCGGGTAGGGGCAGGGCCTCTTCATTCATAGTTTCGATTGTCCTCCAGACAGCCTCCAGGACTCCCTCCACGGTTGCGTTTGTGAAGAGGGACTTGATGTCGAAATATTTAAACATTATATGAAAATTTTTAACTGAGATGAAATGAAAAAACTGACTGTTAAGCTTCCTAGAAAAAATCCAATGCCTGCCTAGGATGAAACATCTCCCTAAGGTCCATAAACCAAGCATTCCAATGAGAACTATATCTTCAGTGATAAGTAGCATGCTCCACAGGTCAGCCCAACAATTGGCTATCCCTTTATCAAAAACTCTGGCATTGATAAGTGGCACCCATTTAAAGAATTCAGTAAATCAGTTAATTAGATTGAACAATGTTGATTTCAAAGAATGATATATTTTGGATACAGTTGTTTGGGGAGATGATAAAGGCCCAATATTTACCATCTACAGAAAGTCAACAAATAAAAACGATTTCAATCACTACGTACAATGATCGAGTGAAAATCACTACGAATCTGCAGCTCTATAAGCGGTCAGTAAGGTATAACAGAATTACATTAGAAGTCTGTTCACAACAGCACTATTTCTTACCTGTCAGTGATATATAAGGTTTCATTGCATATCAGTAATAACATACTGTACACAAGACAAATGTATTAAAACATTTTACAAATAAAAAGATAATTTTTAATGAGAAAAAAAAAAAAAAAAAAAACATTAAGTTATGTACTCACCCATGCAGTCAGTTGGATATTGCATAATAGTGACCATCATATGGCAGTAATGGTAATTGCTCCTTGAATGAGTTGTCTTAGTTGCTGTTAATGAAGCAGTGGATTTGAGCAGAAGCCATGTCTTGTCTGTATTCTTGATGATAAAAGATGTAAATTATTTCTCAAAAGCATTATAGTCAATGCTCCACTCATTCAGACCTGAAAACAGTTTGTTTGATAATATAGATCTTATTGTTAAACTGAATTATTAAATCTAATAAAATTCTTAGTGTAAAGTATACTTTCCACACATATTATAGCTATATCTTTTTGTCTTCTAAACAAGGCTTTATTTTAACACACCATAAAACATGATTTTTCACCATATTTTATTTAACATTTATGACAACTGATTAAACCTGTACAGTACCACTACTCTTGTAAGTCTCCTTCACCGGTTCCTGTCCTCAATTAAGCACTGCCATAGCTTCACATTTTGGCCTGAGGCTTAAGAAAAGGTTGCAACTTCTGAGTGAGCATCACATTTCCTGACACTTTTAATTTCCCTGACATAAAGGCCTTCTGTGCATTCAATTTGCCAGTCACTAGAGCAACCATGTCATCATCTTCTAGAGTCAGCGTTACACTTGGTTTCTCTCCATTTATGGGTGTTCCTTCATACACCGATCCAGGGCCATTCTTCAAGTCAAGAGCTACAAAGCAATATACACTTTAATAAAACTGAAGAGGGAAACAAACTATATAAAGGTTAAGATTAAGTACAGTTGAGGAAAACAAAAGAACGTTGAATATCCATTATGCTATATCCTCACATACAGTAACATAGTTCTAAAAATCTCTTCCAAATGCAGCAATGGAGTAACAATATGTAAAAAAAAACAAAAAAACATATATATATATATATATATATATATATATATATATATATATATATATATATATATATATATATATACACACACACACACACACACGGGGTATATATATAAAATAATTATGCACACAAATAAGTTACCGTAATATGTACAGTACAGGTACCAGCAAAAAAAACCATAACTCGGCACATATGGAGCTAAGGCCAAGCCAAGTCACTGAATTTGCCAACTTAATGGTAATGAGTTGATATATACTGTATTAGGTACTTAACAACAACAATTCTTGATAATCTTGTAAGAGGGAGACAAACTGTACTGTACTGTATTGCATGCAACACTTCACAGGCACTCTTCGGTACTATACAGTAAATTGTTCTGATGAACTTAACACTACTGTATATACTGTACACTTTACACATAACAGTAACACTTCACAGGCAATGCAAATAATTTTTCTGACAAACTTAAAACTACACTTTACATTATATGTAGAGTAACACTTCACGGGCACTTAATCACTATCAAAAGGTCTACCCGTGAGGAGAGGTACAAGTAAACTGATGCTCACAGGCTGCCAACTAAAGCTCCGTGTGGGCTGGCTTGCTGAGTTCTCGCATATGACTCGGCTCCTGCTTACCTAGCGCCAATTTGCTGATTACTCAAAAATGTAAGGGCTATCTGGTGCCGTGCTGACTTATTGCAAATTTTTACTTATCAGATGCCGAGTTATGGGGGTTTACTATGTGATCACTAACAGCCATATAAAAATTGGGATAAAGTACTAAAGTATTGTACTGTAATACAGCAGACTCACAATATAACTGGATAGTGGGACTGAGAATTACTGCAAAATATAGAATCACATTACTGTACTGTATATTGTTCTGTATATTTCAAAAGAAAATTCGGTATAGTGTATGAAACTGAAATAATACCACAATATTTATAACTATGAGAATGTCTTTGATAGATCATATACTGTACTTACTCCACTGTGCTGCTGGTGTCTTGTTTTTGTTGATATTCCATAAGAAAATAGCCTTCACCTTCTCAGCAGCTCCAGGAGTACTTGCCACTCTCTGAGAAATTTCATGGAACACACTGCCACTAGCTAACTGCATAGAGGTGGAAGCAGAAGTATTCACTGAAGCTGTTTCCACAATATCCACAAATCCACCTGTGTAAGTATGAAATAGTTAAAAAATAGTATCGACAGCAGCAAATATACACAAATAATACCACGGGTGAGTAAGGTTCCATGTGAGATGGATGCCCTTTCTCCAATGTAGAAGCTATACTGTAAATGGTTGGGATTGTAATTATATTACCCAGCACAGTAACACTTTGGTTAGTAAGCACTGTAAATAAACACAATAAGAAGGTGAAAAGAATGAGAATTCTTTCAATATATGATATAATTAAGATAAAGTACATCAATAAAGAGGGAAAAAAGCCAGTGAGCTCTGACCAATGACCCATGGTTTTTACAATGGGCTAATGAATTAATTCTGTGTTCCACATTATGATTCAATAAACATGGAAGTGAAAATCACTTTTAAGTTAAAATTAAGTTTACACACACATGTATATAATACAGGTAAAGGAAATTACTGTCTCAAGAGCGAATGTCTCCCTGTCCAGGCCGCAAAAATGCTGGCAACTCTAAAACTACCTGCAGACATCCTAACGGAACATCCATGGTGGCATCAGCGAATAATAGAGGACCGCGAAATAAAAATCCCCGAATTATCCGGGCATACTCTATTGGCAATCAAAGTTAAACGAAGACATAAAATGTACCAATGCTCACGTTTGACTATTAGTCAATAAAAAGATCTTACAAGACCAAAAAATGTAAAATTTCATAATAAACAACTTAACAGATATAATAACAAAGATAGTGAATGGAGACAGATACTACAAATGCAAACACACAAGGGAGCTGTAAAGGAATTTTTGGGAGAAAATGAGGAGCACAGATTGTGCAAAAATCTGCTATTTGGCATAGCCCACCTTATATAGCATGGAGAAAGATAAAACAGGTTCAGTACCATTCAAACTGTATGAGAGGTTGAGGCAAAGTAAAATTAGTATAGTACTCATGGTAGGACTGATAATTGGGTGTTTTCTTGTCAACTGTCTGTTAGTAGGTGGAAGGGAGACCAGAGGTATGATAGAAGAATAAATTCAATGTGTGAGGAGGAGGAGGAGGAGGACAGAATGTGTGCCGTACTGTTATCAGCTTCATCATCATAACCATCAATGTTCTATGGCCACTTTTCATGCTTGAGTGGGTTAGCTTTGATTACTTGGTGGCCACTTTCCATGCTGCATGGTCTCTTGCAGTCTCTCTTATCAGCTTTTTAACTCTTATGTCACTCCTTACAACCTCTACCTATGTCATTCTTGGGATGCAGAACTGTATTTTGACAGATAAAAGAGAAACAAAAAAAGTAATCTTTAAAATTACTTTCAGGCATATGATATGAAAACTCCTCCAATTTACCTGTGAGACAAGCTTGGTTCGTCTCCTTGATAGTGCAAGTAAAGAAGATCCGTGACCCTTCTTTCCACATGTCAACCACAAGTGTCTGACCAGGGATCACTGTTTTGGCAAAACGGGCCTATAAAGAAAATATATTTCTTTTTTACCATTGACACTAAACATTACCACTAAGCAATATACTGTATATGAAGAATACAGGCAATTTCTGCAGAGCAATTTACTGGTTAAATAAACACTTGCTGAAGTCCATATCATCAAAGTACTGTAAACTGGCTATATTTTTTCTTTATAATCTCTAAAGTAGTTTTATCCATACAGATATGAAATTTGACATTAAAGAGAGCCAGAATTAGGTATCCTTAACATTTATACAGTATATGGATTTATTTGCGATCTATCAATATTTATCTAACATTATGTGTAAGTCAATGAGCAGAAAAGTGGGAGGGGTGTGGGGGGCACTTCTTAGCCTAGGACCATCAGCCAAAAAGAAAGAAAAAAAAATCATTGATGCTACAGTACATATGAAAAGTTCCTACTGATATGGAACACATATTACAATTTAACCCTAAAACCCCAGGTTAGGGTGATGCTGGCAGTAACCCCCCCGGTGGGGATAGATCAAGAAAAAATACCCCCCAAAAAAAGGCGGACGTTCTGGAACGTCACCCGCCTAAGGGTTAAGGGCGCTCTGTAAGAGCCTATAGAAAAATTCCATTGAGCAAATTCTATAAAAAAAAAAAAAAAAAAAAAATACATACCTTCATAGCCTTAAACAACTTGACATCGTCATTACAAAAATGTTTCAAGATGATTCGAGCAGAAATGCCATAGAAACAAAGACCATGTAGGATTGGCTGACTGAAGCCACCCATGGCAGCAAAGAGCGGATCTATGTGGAGAGGATTGTTGTCACCATTAAGACGATAAAGTGCTGCCTGGAAAAAATGAGATGATCACGGATTAGGTTTTTAAGTTCAATGATTTATGCAACATGTAATTAAATTACCTGCACCAGTAACATTCATATAAGATGATACCGATAGACATAAATGCCACAAAATTCTGATAAATTTTACACTTATGAAAATTGTGCAACAGCATAATATTATTGGGAGGGATTTTTTTTTACTTTACTCACATTAACAACTTGTAAGCATGTAAATCATTGACAGTTTCTCTGTTCATTTAACTCAATGCTCAAAAGTCTATCCTCATATCCAAAAATAATGTTTAAGTAGTTCTTGTATACATTATACACCAAACTATAGGTAACTCAACCACTGTCTCATAAAATTAAACACAAAAGCATGCACGCACCCCCGAACGCACACACACACGACAAAAGAATCACAATACAAATGCTATTTTGCCTTTTATATGCTATTCTTTCCCATGGCAGAGAAATGAAGGTAAAAAGCACATACATTAGTGATAAGACAGTTTGTATGCTCTCCTCTCATGGCCACACTCTCACAAGTGAGCTCCTCAGGGAAATGAGGCATTACAGATATGAGAAAGCTTATCTAGACTACAGGTACTTTGAAACAATATTTTTTATATACCACAAATTCAGTAATGGTATGAATAATATTTGTAAGTAAATACTGTCAGTCCTCACTATGCGCATTTTTGTAAATACTACGGAATTCATAAATTAGTGAAATTTTTTCACTATATGCAATGAATTTTTCCTGGTACTGCACACATTTTTTTACCTGCTGTACAAATTTCAAAATTTGCATCCAAGCTATTTTAGGCCACACCACTGCCACAAACCTGTACCACTTTACTTGTAGGGTTTAGTGAATAGGTACAGTATTGTATTCTTCTTTTGTCAATCCAGGGCTTCAGGCCAGGAACCTGTCCTTCATAATGAGTGGCATCATGTGACCTTTGTTTGAGGTGATTTTTATCCTGTGCCTTGTTATATGAATGAAAACCCCAAAGCCGGAAAATTCCGGCTTTGGGAACAATCACTGGGGTATTTAGGCATGATTAAGTAACACACTAAGTCGGAAAAAAAAAACATGGTCAGAGACACACAGTAAGTGTAAACAAGAGTAGAGTAGTGTGCAGAGACATCTGGTGGCAAGAATTCACACCATGCCACTGCTCACCAAATTCAAAACAGTTCTGCCCCTCCTCTCCAGATCGTTGGATCTGCGGGGTATCAAGGAAACTTGTGGGTTATTCCCCTTAAATGTAATCGACGGTTATGCGAATCGGTGGTCAATGGGTCGTCAGTTTTCAGGGTACACCTGTACCGCCGGAAGGTGCTGAGACAAGCCCCTTGGAATGTCCCTATGTCAGTCAATCAGTGGTCTGGGTAATACATAGTTTAGGGAAGAGGGAAACCTGGAAGCTACACTCATATCCAACCTTCCCTTCTTTCACAGAGAGGAGGTATGTCCTTCCCTCTTCCAAAAGAACTTACAAAAAGGTTTTGAACTGAGATAAATAATGCCCCAAATGAGTCAAAACCACCCCCCATAGTAACTAAATCGGTGTTCAGTACTCGCTTACTTTTTTGTTATGTTTTAATGCTTTTATTATGAATATTCATCTATCATGCATTTAGTGATGTTCTGTATTGATTTAATATGTCTTTTGTACTTAGTTTTGTTAGTTTGGTTTGTACAGGGGGTCTGAAAATATACCAACAGGAATACATTTATAACACTTTGTCTACATGGGAAAGTCACTTTACTAAATGAATTTTCATATTATGCACCACTTCTACAGAGTAGCCATTTCACAAATTGAGAACAGCGTTCAGTATATTTTAAGCAAAATACTGTACTGTTAATAAGATAGATTCTAAAATAAACAAACTGTTTTTATATAAAAGACAGTCGTGCACAACAGAGCTTCTAGGATTTCAAAAGCCAGAACAGACTTAATATCATCAAAATACTGTACCTGATCAATATTTGTCTTAAACTCGTCAGTAACATCAGGTTTTCGCTTAGGAGGATCAAGTAGAGGTACACTTTTGGTGCTCTTCCTTGGACCACCAAAATTTCCCTCACCAACCAAAAAGAGTGACCATTGTGTTCGAGAAACAGGATCACCACTCTCATCCTTTGTCAATGCTGAAAGTAATTGCTGATAATTAGGTCTTTTATACCTAGCACTTGGTAACATGTGCACTACATTTAATAAAATTAATAGCAAAGAAATACAGTAGTAATGGCTTGCCAACCACAAGGGTGGGCAAGAGTTGGGTCTCATGGGAAATATGGGGTCACACAGGAAGACCTAAGATGTACAGCTCAAAGTTAAAAATAAATAAAAAGTGTAGCTACACAAATTAAAATGTTTATATTTTCCAACTTAAAAAATACTGTATAACAAAACTGTTTACAAGTCCTGGGTCTGGGATCAAAATAATTAAAAACTTTTAGAATATCTAAAACATCAATTACGCTGTGCCCGTTAGTTTTATATCACCTATACAGTACAGGAATACCCGGGTTATCACAAGGAATACGTACCTGAAAGTGATTGCAATTAATGAAATTGTGAACTTTGGGTAAATTTTCCCTACAAGACATCCACTAAATTCAGAGTTTTCTCATTAGATAACCTCAGTGTTGATGTGGAAGTATGTGAGAGTAAAACCCCACAAAATCATTTAAGAGTTAACATGACATTTTTATGAATCTTCATATCACAACATTTTCCTTATTGATTTTGTTTAAGTTAAAAATTGGTGATGTATTTTGAATGTGATGCTGTCTTAATTAATTTATTAATTTAATACATAATAGTAATTGTTGCCCAAATATTCACTTTCTAACATGACAAATTGAAGATGTGACTTTTTGAAAAATTCCACAAGATACTAATGAAATTATCATATTTTCTTTAAGGTCAGAAAGTTAAGCAATATCCTTTAAAGTTGCTTTTGCAAATACTACCAGAGCAGAACACTTACACTCGGCAATGAGAACAGCTCCAGAACCCTTGTCTAAAACATCCACCACCTTCATTTCTGTGCTCAGTGTAGCATTGGTTGGTAGTGGTTTAATGTTTTCTATGTACATTTCTCCATGAAGCAACTGAAAGAAACAGTCTTGATAATTATCAGCAACCACTACATGATCTGGATTCTTTTATTTTCACTCTTACAAGCATTTTCATGTTTTAATACTGAGTACATAGCTGGAATCAATAAAAACACAGATTCATATTCTTCTAACAAATTAGTTTTAATTTTATCTCTAATATATTTAAGTTTAAAACAAGATAAACTATACTAAATGTCACATTATCATATTGCAAAACAAATTTAAATCTAGAAAACTCAAGTTATAAATATTTTCATTTATATTCCAACCCTGAAAACATGCTAGGTTCAATACTAATAGTCGTCTGCTTATTTGAAACGAGTTCACACTTGCCTGACCAGATTTGCAACACTGTACAGAAAACCTTTCTAAAGTTAGATTCCCGTATATAGGGATTAAGCCAGTCTGACTAAGAAGCAATAACCTCTATCGGTGCCCCCTAATGTCAGTACAGAAACCATACCCAAGGATTGAAAGAAAGGGCCAAGAATGGTCATAAATCATTGGTGACGATGCCAAATATGCATATATTGGCAGTATGTGTACCAAGGTTTGAGTCTGAGGTTCAATTCCTTATTCTTAAAGTATTTCATGTGTCTAACCCTTTTCAGGAGCTCACATTACATCATGAACTAGAATTATTATGACTTATCTGAGGATGTAAACATTTCAAATAAACCAAATAATGTATGAAAATATGAACATCATGATGATCAAAACAAAATCAATTACAGTATGGTACATTAACAAATCAATCTAAATTTTCAAAAACAGGAAAAAATTATACTGTACCTTTGTAAAGTCAACTGACCAATTCTGAATTTTACTCCAAATGCCTCCTCCACTCATTAAAGATGACTGTGATACCACAACACCAAAAGTTGGGTGAGGAGAAAAGTTCTCACTGTTCTCGTATAAAAACTGAAGACTATTCTCATCTTTTGTGGAGACACCAGCTGCAAAAACAATAGCAATTCTCAATGCTGTATTTAGCATCAGTGAAATAACAGAATCCAATAATATAGTATAGTACTGTACTGTCAAAAGCAAGACCAAAAGAAGTACCAGGTAATAGAAAAGTAAGAATATTCAGGGAATTTTTTGATGTCAAGGATAAAGATGATTAAAAAATTTAAGCAGCTGAAGTTAGAGAAGTACGGTAGTTTGATGTGCGTGAATAAGTTGAGACCAATTGAGGATAACTGATTTGAAAATGCAAACTAAAAAATAAAGGCGTTAGAATGATTCCACAATGAGAAGCATTATTAAAGGATGGACCTAAGTGAGGATGCACTAACACTCTCAAACCATGCAATGATGATCATATTTTTCCTTGCTTCTTCCCCATGGCATGAAAAAGAATCTTCTCAACTTTTCATTTCTCCAATATCAAACTTAAACGAATAATATGGCATGACCATAAAACTAAGAATTTATAATATTAAAATTTCCACTGTATTTGAAGTGGGGTGAGTGAGAAAAAAATTGGGGAGGAAGGGGTGAATGAGATAGGAAAAGGGTGAGAAGCACTTGCCTAAAAGTAAAAATATCAAACTTACATCCAAGAGCATACAGGATCAAATGTTTGTGGTCATATGTGTAACTTGTTGGCCCCAATGTTACTCCAACAGCAGAGAGCTGGAACACAAGAAAAATTTACTGCGAGAAAGTACACAATAATTACAATAATAGCAAGAATTGCATATTCGTATTTGTAATTTTTTTTCACTGTTTTCCTTCTTGAAAATAAGAATACCAAGAACAATGGGGGAATCCAACACAGGCCATCTGCCTTCTTCCCGCATCATTGCCATTCCCAGTTGGGGTGGCCATTACGTAAATTAGGTAGGTAAAAAGTAAAGTTATCATTGACTATAAGCTTCCATAATACCAGTAAATATCATTCAAGAGTGCAGACATTGTTAATTTTTACAATTCAAACTTTTTTAACATTCAATATAATTTTTTAAAATGTACTACAGGTTGTACCTCTCTAGTCCGGCAACCTCGGGACCAGACCGGTGCCGGACCATGGAAATTCACCCTTTTCCTGGATAGATAGCGACTTGTGCTTATGCTTGGAAGCACTAGCACCACTTTCTCTGCATCATGGTCTCTTTGAAGACATATTGAAGGGTTAAATGTCGTATAGTAGCTTCTCAAATTTCGCGAGTTTTTAATTCAACGTATTTTATTGGAACACACACACACAAAAAAAAATAAATAAAAATTTTGACGGCGGAAACTTGAATTTCGACGGGTTTGAATGGCCCGCCAACGTGCAGACGACGTGCATAACCCACACACAACGCTTCCGTGACGCCTGCTGGACCACCACTCCACGACCCCCTGACGGAGACACGATGATCCTCCCAATACTGGCCAGATATTTTGTAAATAATATTGATTATGTGTTAAAGGAACATCCTTTCTTCCTTAGGCTTTAGTAAGCCCCTTTATAATATTTATACTGTATATACTTTTCACACTTGCCAGATGATTCTGGTGTCATTGTACAGGGGTACCTAGTGACAGCACTAGGATCCCGCTTCCTCTATCAAGGAATAAACAATTGAAATTGAAATTGAAATTGAAATTGATGTGCATAATCGTGTAAACAGCGTCATTTCTCTTATGTACAAAAGATTCATCATTGTTTATTACTGAATGTCTTTTTTATTGAATTAATGTTTATGTGTGCAAAATGAGCAATACAATTCATTAATAATACGTAGAATATTAAAACACACGAGGAAATGACACAGCATTGTTTTCGTTGATTACAAAACCAGTGACTGACTGGTTCTACATATAAAACTGAAGAAAATAAGACCTTGGTTTTAGCTGCAGTAAAATTAATATGGTTGTTTTAAGTAATGTTATTTAATGTTAATAAATGGAACAATAGAAGTAGCTAACGATAATGGTAAAGAAAAAAGAGAGATCGCGTATGTAAGTGCGCACACGTAAAAACATATCGTCATTACTTTACATAAGAATATGAAAGCAACACTTATTTACTGTTCATATATATTTTAATTAATGTTTCTGAATTCAATTTTATTGAATTAATGTTTGTGTGTGCAAAATTAACAATACAATCTATTAATAATACGTGGAATATGAAAACACACGATGAGACGAGACGGCTGCTGGCATTGTTTATGTTAAAGCTTACAAAACCAGTGACTGATTGGTTCTACATATAAAACTGAAGAAAATAAGACCCTGATTGTAGCTGTAGTAAAATTAATGTAAAAAAATTAATATGGTTGTTTGAAGTACCTGTAATGTTATTTAATGTTAATAAATGGAACAATATAAGTAGCTAACCATTAATGGTAAAAAAAAAAAAAGTGAGACTGCGCGTATGTAAGTGTGCACATGTGAAAACAAACCTTAATTTCCCGCGGCTTTGTTGTCGTTTTTTTTTATGGGGATTAGCCCACCCGGGCATAGGTCACTGACCCACATTGGGGCCTGAGGGGCAAAAAATTTAATTCTCCTGTAATAATAATAATAATTCAGAAGAGGGAAAAAAAAAAAAAAATCTGCCTATCTACCTATTGGACAAACTAAAATCGTTCCGGACCACGGGAGTTTCCGGACCACAGAATGACGGACTAGAGAGGTATAACCCGTATTACGAAAAAAATAAAAAAATAAAAAAATAATAATCTGTCAGTTCTATAGGAGCTACTTTTAGGCACACAGTAGCTGTTAGACTGTGACAGCAAGCAGTTTATTAAATATGACAAGAACCAAGTAAACCTAACCAAGCATATCTTAGAATACTTTTTAGTTAGGTTAGGTTAGTTAATTTAGGGCAAGTTGGTTGGTGAAAAAAATGGACTTAAAATTTCCCAGGAAGAAATCAAGGTGTACAAGAATGGTAAAGTATAACCACCATAATAATAAAATACTATAATCAACCTAAACAAGAGTAAAGCAAATAATGAAGATTAAATTTTCTAGTCATTGCAATATACCGGTACATTATTCCAAATACCAGAAAAAAGTCATCATCATATAGCTTTGAAAGTACACTACATATTGGCATAGTACTATCAACTCACAGGTCCAGTAAGTGAAGCAGATGGGGATGATGTGGGGTTGGCCTTGACCTCCGACTTCTCACTTATTTCTTGTAAAGCCTGAAGAAATAATTGCATTTAATGTTATACAGGCTATGGTGCAAGTAGCATGAAAGGAATGTGTTTTCACACTGAAAGTGTGCAAAGTTATTTCCACTAAAGAAGGCATTATTCACAATAATTTGTAGTACAGATTGGACCCCACTAATCCAGGACCCAATAGTCCTGCAGCTTCGATAGTTTGGGATGCATATAGTGAATATTTAATCTTATGGAGAAAATTGGGATATGTTCCACAACTACTAAAAGTCAACAGTAATGCTATTAAACTTGTGGAAAATTCATTACAATTATCACAACCTGTACTCAAATGTACTTAAGTTAATTCATGTTGGAAACATGATGAAATCCCTTGAAAATTCATTCCCATGCCCAGAGTGGAGAGATTTTCTCATAATTTCTTTAGAATTTTCTGGAAATGTGCATGATGCAATCCTCGCAAACTCTTTTGGATACCCAGAATGAAAAGATTTTCATGTAATTTCTCGGAACGAAAAAAGAAAAAGAAAAAAATGGCCTATTGGAGAGTCCTTGGGATCAAAGATTCTGGTTTACAGTGAGATTACTGTATATTGAGGAGCAAGCAGGATGTAAAGTTTATTTTACCCCAATTAATAGTGCAGAATTCTCTTGGCTGGATGCTGGATGAACAGACCCTGTAAAATCAATTATCTTCTCCCAATTGTCACGCACTTGCTCTGGGGAGACAATGTCCCCGTGTGAGCTTTGGCACACAGATCCCTTTGTATGTTCCCAGCGATCTGTTAAAGTAACAAAACGTTAGTTGAGAGCAATAAATATACAGCAGCTATGATGATTTATGAATTATGCTGGTTAGACATGTACAAGATTGAGGGTCAATGCAGCAAATGGAGGCAGTATGGCCAGCACTGCATACACTTCCCCAAGTATAGTCAGGTAACCATTCGCAGTAGAGTGAACAGGAGGTGTTTGGGTCCCAAGTGTAGTCAGGTAACCATTCACAGTAGAGTGAACATGAGGTGTTCTGGGTGCAAACCAGCAACTGAATGGATAAGGGGTAAGTGCTGTATCTACTCAGCTGTCATTTCTCCAGACATACAAATATGCATGACAGCAGCCAGTGACACATAACACCTGCTAATATAAATGACACATGATAATTGACAAAAAGAAATGAGACCTGTGAAATATATATTACTATATCATACGTGCCCATATACACTACCTGCCTAATACAATTCATATCTGACAAATACACAGGATATCTACCAAATACATATAACACTATGGCAATCACCATCTAATATTATTTATATCAACAAAATATACACCACCTGCCAATTACAGTGGTTCCTACCTTATACAGGGGATGAATTCCAGTAAAAAACCCAGATAAGGTGAAAACATACTCGGAAAACTATTAGCCTAAAGGGAGACATAGCAATTCTCCCCCCCCCCCCCACCAAAAGAAGATTCTTTACTCTTGATCAAATCCTTTTTTCCTACAACTGCAGCCATCACCTTTCTTCCACAACCTGAACAACTATGTTTTTATAAGTTATATAACTTGTACAAACTACCTGCTACATTTACTGTGCATAGTATAAGAGGTGAGGAAGACAGAAGGGGAGGGCAGACTACAGGGGGAGGACTGAGAATATCATCTGCATCAACCACATTGAGTGCTTGAAATCTTGCAAACCTGGGAGGAGATGACATGCTGCTTGAAATCACGGGAGAAGTGTGTGGTGAAGGTTGTGGTGGAGTGTGAGTATATGGGTTGGCATAAAAGGTCTATCTTAAAATATACTTTTGCACCTGCCACTCCTTTTATACCACTAACAAATTTGACAATGTTGACATTCATTTTGACTTCCGATGACATGTCAGAGAACCCAGTGAAGTCCTTCACTGCCCCCTGCAACAGCTCCCTCCAGAAGGCATTTAGCGTGGTGCAAGCGACTCCTTCCCACACCCCTGGATATGTTTAATGGGGAAGGTACTATAGACCTTCCAGAAGGCATAGACAGATATAATGCAGTCTTCATCTTCTGTAGTGCCTAAAGGAGGTAGCCAAATGCCCTTTGGGTACAATAACTTTTAAATTATAATCACACACTAGTCCACTGATTGTAGTGATGACCTTTTGCTGGGGGGCAGGAACATGACAGCCTTACACAAATATGTGGTGTTTACTCTTGATTCTACTCTTTATTAATTGGCCATTATCATCTGTTGTTTTATATATTTTGTGTCATTTGTCTTTATATACGCAAGAATTAGTGAAAAAAGAAGTAGTGGATTTACATCAGTAAATATTCTTTATTCAAACTTTTTTCCATTTATTACTTGGAAGTTAATGTTTTCAAGTAGTTATATCTATACACCCGTTAAATTTGGCATTAAAGGGAGCCAAAACTGGGTGTCCTTAACAATTACATATTAAATTATTTGTGATATACAATATCACTATTAATCGAACATTATGTATGAGCCAATGAACTGCAGGGGAAGGGTTACACTGTCGGCTAAAAAAAAAGAAAAGAGAATACATAAAATACACTATTCATACAAAACCTTCCAATTAAACATAATCCCTGCCAACCACATTATGCTAGCCAAATACACAAAATGTACAGGATACTTAAAAAATATACTTACACTTTCCATACCATCCACCACCAGCCCCATAAAGCCCACCATTATCTTCACAGTCTTCGTGAGAGAGCCATGCTACCAGTGGAGCCACTAACTCTGGTTTAAGAGCCTCAAACACTTCTGAAATTATATATATATTGCATGATGCAATCCTCGGAAATTTGTTCAGATTCCCGGGAATGAGAGAGTTTTCCGGAGATCAAAGATTCCGGCTAATAGAGATTACTTTTCTAGGCTATCCTGGCCAACCATATCATTATATCACCATTTGGTCTGCCTGCATGCCAAGCTCAAAATGACAGCATTGGAAACATGATGCAATCCTCAGAAATTAGTTTGAATACACGGAATGGAAAAACAAATTCTGGAATTTCTTGGAATGCTAAAATAAAAATTTGGCTATTGGAGAGTTCTGGGGATCTAAGATTCTAGCTAAATGAGAGATTATTATCAGGTATCAAAATGAGCACCAAGTATGGAAATGTAATATACTGACTCATAAGTATACTGTCTAGCCCAAGGATATATAATACTGTACAGTGAACCCTCACTTTACGCGGTCAATTGAACCCACGGCGGCCTGCGTAAAGTGAGAAACGCGTAAAGTGAACAACATAACATATGGGATTAATTGAAATAGAGACCGGGCTGACCCCTAAACTCCACTTTTTCAGACACAATACCTACGTTGTAGTAAAAATAACTTCTAAATTTTATGATGGTATGCACACACAATTAATAATTAAGAGAAATATCAATAATATTAGGTTTTTTAACACTTACATTAGTAGAAAAGATGGCTGGGCACACGGGGATGGGGGGTTGGTTCCGAGGCAGAGGGCAGATTATTGGCCCTCACCTGTATCACTTGTGTCAATTGTATCACTATCCACCACAGAGGCTTGCAGGGCCTCTTTGTCAAACCCCTTAAAGTCCATATAAGTCCATATCCTCACTATCATTATCACTATCACTGACTTGGGCCGGCTGTGGTGGGTGGCGGGTGAAAAACTCGGTAATGTTTTGATGACTGGGCGACCTTGTGAGCACCCTGCTCGCGCCGCTCTCCGCGTAAAAGGGTACACACACCGTGGAAAGTGAGCATTCCGTGTTCGGCAGGGTACCGCGTAAACGTGGAAACGCGTAAAGCGAGGGTTGACTGTACACTATTTTTACCCGACCTTTGTTATTACTACTCCTCTAAAATAGCCCCTCATTTAATATACTGTACCACTAAAATTGGCACCAGATTTGTAACTCAATTCTATATCTATTACAAATTCCCCTAAAAAGCCTGATTATTTGGGAACCTCAGCTTAATAGTCCCCATTTAAATCTTTAAACCTTAACTTGGGACCAATAATTCATACATATACTGTTGTATAACTGACCTGGGGGTAGGAGGCCCTCCGTCAGGCGTGTGCCACCCACAGGAGCAATGGTATTACAGTGAATATTGTATTTGTAACCTTCAATGGCAACAGTGTTGCTGAGCCCAAGCAATCCTAGTTTGGCAGCACTATAAAAATAAAAAAGAACAAAGTAACAACTCAAGTGTTAGAACTACTGTGCTGTATTAAAAAAGGTAAATAAATACTCTACCTTGGAATAGAATAAAACATTGGTATAGTGTGGTGAGGCAACGTAATATATTGAAGGTCATTTTTTCTAGCCTCTAATATGCTTCGCATAATTGCAAATAAAATATATATTTTTTTTAATAATTAAATCATTCTAAACACCCTTACCTGTAATTAGCCTGGCCAAAGTTGCCATAAATTCCAGATGTTGAGGCAGTCATGATGATGCGGCCATATTTTTGTTGCCTCATAACCGGAAAAGCTGCCCGCGTGACCATGAATGCCCCTCGTAAGTGTACACGATAAACCAAGTCTATGGAAATAACCTTTATATCTATACTGTAATACTCCTTCGGTATATCAGCATTAATTTTTCAAATCTAATCACACACACTAACTCCAGTTCTTAATCACATATTTAGAGATCTTTTATTTTTTAACAATAAAAAATTACACAAGAATCAAAATTCTAGAATTTTACAATTACAGTTGGTATCATATAAACATACAACTGATGCATAACAATCTGCTTTATGCATGTGTACACCAAACAATTTCCTTTTCAATTTACTGAAAACTAGTTAAGCTACAGGTAGTTATACATTTGTATGGTAATACTGTATAATACACTATATACAAAATAATAAAAACTACAGTATATACACATGAAATACACAACCACAATGTTTGTTTCTAAACCTTTTTAACAAAACTAATTTTCAATATCATAAAAAAAGGATAAAACTGTTTTTTGGTACTGTATACTCAATACAGTTTTCCTTATAGCTTAAATGAGCTTAAATGAGGGGTTCACAACCTTTAATAGTACTCAGCCACATTACAAACAAGAAATCAGTAATTAGGTGCAACCATCTCACAGTATAAATGCTGTATGTAATACACTATGTATTAATTTTAGAAAAATAAAACATGGAAATGAGCATTAAGCAATATGGAACTAAACCCCATATTCAGAAGTACAGTACTGGTATACAGACCAAAAATATAAGTAACCTAATGGGTAGCAATAAATACTATTGTGACATGGAAAATTATGTTTCACACTCAATACAGTAGTGCAAAAGAAATGGTTACAGGGATATATGCATTCCAACATGTACAGTAATGCACATTGAAACCTCAGCAAATCAGCTTACAATGGGGTCATTTTGACATACTGTACTGTAATGTACACTACTGTACTGTACTTGATATGGAAACACATTCCCCCAAAACAATATTTGTTACTTTTAAGTGATACACGATGACTCAATTTATCTACTTGTACACTTAGGCAACTGATTAATATATAAACTAGGGAATAGGCAGATGCATATTACTGTACACTACTGTACAAAATTATTTATTCAGTGCTGGCTGGCGTGATACATTTCTATTGAACAACATTATGTAAGGTAATCAGCAAATCATAAGTTATGCCTCTGAACTACCAGAGTGTATAGAAAGGCATTCAGCAACAACCTATTCCATGACTAACTGACACTAGATAATAATAAGGCCTACAGTATCATGCCAATCTACAAAAATAAAAACCAAGGAACATACCCCACTATGTGTACCCAGGAATTAAGAAGACACTAAACCAGTACAATACTGTACGATATATTGATGGCAAAATGATACAGTATTCCTGATACATAATTATCACCGTTGAATCTCATAATAGTTGAGTATTAATAAAATATCTTCCATAATGATTCTTGATACCTCGATATAAAAGTCAAAATTCTTAAGTCTTACCCCAGTCTGTGTCAGATGTACGAGCAAAGGATCTGTCTCTTAGGATGCCAGCATTATTCACCAGTATATCCACACGACCAAAATTATCAAGTGCTGTTTGGACAATATTTGCTCCATTCTCCACAGAGTCATAGTTGGCAACAGCTGTTCCCCCTGTTGACAAATAATTATAAAATGATATCAGGGTAAATATCCCCAACAATTGCTAATGAGAAATTTACTAAGTTGTGATAATACAGTACAAGTAGGTATTAGATAATCAAATACGTACAGTACAGTACAGTATAGCCACAACAATTTGTTCAGTAGTACATTTGAACTTTCATTTGCAAGACAGTCACTACCTCCTGAAGTATCTATCAAATGCTGCTTCAGTATACATTACAGTAATGCTACAAAACATAAGGGATTATAGAGGGGACATGTCATAGTAGAGCCAGAAAATATTAACTTGAAAACAACATAACACTTTGTTTTTACTCTGATATTCCCACAAATTATAAGAATAACATGCACGGATCAAAATACCATATCTTCCCACAGAGTTTGAGCTCAGCCAGAAAACCATGAGAAGTAAAGTTAATGACTAGGCTAATTATCTAATAAATTTCTATTCTGTAGTACAATAATTGGGAATTTATAATAGAGCATAGCATATAGACATGAAAAATTCTGCAACTGAAAGTCCAAACCTATCTATTTATGCAAAATCATAAACATTATATTGTGCAGCTTAAAACAAGAATACAGTACAGGCAAACATCCTTCCCTATTTTCTTTATTTTCTGCATCACTTAATCATTAGAAAAATTATAAATCTTTGGTCTACTATATACAACACTTACATAAAAAATAAAACAGCAAAGGGCCATAAAATGATGACAATGATTCTATCTTATCTTTCATAAAGCGTATAATTACAATACTGTACAGTACACTATCCAAAATCATTAGCTTCATACGCTAACCTGATCTTTCAAATTAAAGTCCCATCTAATTTCACTCTTCCACTTACAAATCTAATTTGTCACTTGTATTAGTATGTTTTCATTGTCGATACCGGTACTTTAACATAAACCAGTAACACAACCATATCATCAAAAATCAGTCATTGACACATTCCATCTCTCATGCAGTTAACTTACCCCTCTTTTAACCTAAGTGACTACTGCATTTACTCTTCAGCAAATTATCATTCACCACAGACAGCATAAACTATATGGCTATACCCTCTCATGTCTTCTTATGCATATGAGCCTTTTAATGCTATGATACAAGTTGGTTCAACAGAAGCTAATCCCATAATTCCTAGCATTTAGCAACCTGAGGGTTGTTCCAACCCCTTGGCAGGATGCTAGTTCACCAATGAGTTGTTCCAGCAACTCTTATCATTGTCGAGTGTAAAATAAGGGATCCTAGTCCTCAACTCTGATTAGGAAAGAAACTCGAGACTCTTTACAGGTGAGGCAAATGTTCTACCACTGAGCAATGGAATATTCTGTAAGAGTCTCATAAGGATACATTACTTGGTCACATGTACAGTCCCCTCAAAAAGTATTGTTAACCATGGGGTCGATGTGATCTGAGGCTTTCCAAGAAATGTAACTCGACCTATTTCTGAACAGTTAGTACATAAAATATCATGATACAGTCTTTACATACTGTAAACTGCACAGTATATAGGTTCCTTCTTGTTTCTTTTATGCTGTTTTGCACAATTTGTCTGATAGCAATACTCAAGCGACATAACTGAACAATAGCTATTCAAGCAATATAAAAGTTGAGTTCCCAATGGAAATAAGAACTGTATACTGTAATGTGTTACAAGAAACTTACCTGCACTACGGATCTCATCCACTACCTTGTCTGCAGCAGAGGAACTCTTTCCTTCCCCCTTTGCGTCCCCTCCTAGGTCATTTACAACCACCTTTGCACCACGGGATCCAAACAATAAGGCATAGGAACGACCCAGGCCTGAAACAGGATTTCAAAATTCAATTTGATAGTGGTTACTGAAAATTCATTCAGTTTACATGCCCAAAATTTGTATGCAAATGTACAGTACTAATGCAGGTAAGATGGTTCAAAAGGGGCATGAAATTTCACTTTGAATCACATCAACAAAAGATCACACCTAAATTTATGCTCACCAAAATATCAACTATACGAGTAAAAACACACTGGATAATAAATATTCTGAATCAGAGAAAAATTGGCTTACACTTTACAGTACTGTACTATATACTGTAATTAATGAGGCTGCTCAAATCAAATAACATATACATGCAAGGTAAGTACGTATTAACATAAACGGAAGCTTTCTCTATCTAAAGAGCTCTGTTCTCAATAACTACAGTACATTTATTGCTATATTCATGTCACCATATCATTCAGGATATGTATGGATGGTATTTGCTATTGCCAAAGAAATTACTGTACCTTCCTTTTTTCAATTGGAGATAAAATTTTAAGTTACTGTTATGTACTGTACTTCCTTGTATATGACTGACAAGATCTCTATTGGTTTCCATCACTAACATTCAGGTGTCTAATAATGTTCATGACAATGGTCTATGATACATTTACCATGAGTACCAAGCTCATAAACTGACAGTAAATAGAAGAATTAAAATCCCTTATGATTATGATACAGGGTAGGGAAAATGAGAAAGAAAGAAAGAAAGAAAAAACAAAAAGGGGATAATTTAAATGAGATTCATTTGGGTTTTATTTCTGTTCTATTCATTTTCAGTGCCTATCTGGTTAGGTCAGGTTGTATTAGCTTCTAGTAAATCTCGCCTCTTTCAAAATACTTACTATAATGATAAAAACATGAGAAAAAATAAACTAAATCAAACAGCTCCTTCTGGTGGTAGTGCTGTTCTCAGACATTACCCCAAAAATAACTAGAAGTGAAGATTAGGTTAATTGGTATAGTTTCCTTTAAACTTATATCACCTTAAAGATTACTGGAGATCTCTGGTATTATACTTGGCATTATTATCTGGTTTGACGATATTGGTGGGTTAATAAAAAGGTAGTGGATATAGGTATGGCAGCCGTACACCAAAAATCACATTGGCTATATGTACGGCAGCTTAGTAACTACCACTGTAGAGTCTGCCCACCACACATGGAACCTTATCAATTTAACTCAAATATCACAAACATAACAGAAATCTTGTGAAATGACGGACCTTTATATATAATTGGTAATTATTAACGACTAAACTGCAGTCGATTTTTCTTAGAAAACAAATTTAAAAATGCTGCAATTTCACTGTTTTATAGTGGACACTCGTAGTTATGACAAATGTGTTAAAAAGTGTTTATTCACAAGTTCTCCCTAACTTAACCTAACCTAGGCAAAGTTATTGTTTTGGTTATGCACCTATTTGGAAGTTGAAATTAATCGTTCAAAACACACACAAAAAATCAGGAAAACATCATTTCAACCTAAACTAACCGAAGCTAACCTATCCTGGAGCTTGATGACCAAACAATAATAATACCTTAACTTAACCAAACTGCCAAAATGATTATGATACCAGAACTCACTGATGAAAATACAGTAAAAATATAAACATCAATGCAATTAATGCGTCAAAAGTGTAGTCACCAAAACAGGTACAGTATTAGCCTTAAAATTTTACAAGTACAAGTAATGGGCCAGTTACCCAGTGGCTCATTCCTCCGGTAAAATCAAACATAATTCGCCCTTACATAGCTGACATGTCAGAATCGTTTTTGCCTTGTTCCACCACTGAATGTGCATTACAAGAATTTGTCAAAATTCCCAAGAAAACCTAAAGATTATTATGGCAATGAACCTGGAATACCATTTACCAAAAATCCACAATAAAAAAGGAACCGTTTTTTAGCGGTCCGACTAATTACCCAAATGTAGCCAAATATAGCCGGAATGAAGTCAAATAATGGTCCTAGATGAATAAATCACTTCTCGACTAGTATTTGGTGTCACAAAGTCACAAAAAATTGGAAAACTTGCTTTAATCTGAATTAATAGATCGCGTGCATGTACCCAAATGTAGTCAAATGTAGCCACAATGAAGTTAAATGATGGTCGTACAAGCGTAATTCGGGCTGTGAATCACTTCTCGATTATTATTTGGTGTCATAAAGTAAAAAAAAATTGGTAAACTTAATTTAATCTGTGTTGTGTTAGGTTAGGTTAGGTTAGGTTAGGTTAGGTTAGGTTAGGTTAGGTACATGCACTTGATCTATTAACTCGGATTAAATTAAGTTTACCAATTTTTTTTTACTTTATGACACCAAATACTAGTCGAGAAGTGATTGGCAGTCCGATTTATTCATCTAGGACCATTATTTGACTTCATTCCGGCTATATTTGGCTACATTTGGGTAATTAGTCGGACCCGTTTTTTAGGGCTTGGATAATGGCACTCTACAACTCTGACATGCCACTGGCTTACAATGTTGAAAGCCTCTTAATACTACTAAGGTATAGTACTGTCATCTGTAACAACTTACCGCCACCAGCGCCTGTTATTATTGCAACCTTGCCATCAAAACGCAGTTCCCCGCCCATCCTGTTCAGCCGCCTGAAATATGCAGACTAATGATGAGTCGGTGAGGTGATAACTACCCTAGAGAGATACAAGCTGTCTCAGAATGACTGGCACCTTTATTTAGTTTTTGCCAAATAATTTAGTTATGTCTAATTATTCTGAGCTAACCAAAATAATATCGTCCTATATCTGATTTATTGTGATATCTTAATCATGACCCTAGAGTTTATTTTACATATTTAAGACTTCATAATTCATTAGTAAGATAATATTGTGGGGGTATGGGATAGTTGGGTTTCACTCAGGATGGGACGGGTCATCCATTAGGCACAGTGCCTAGGGCCTACGAGATATTGGGGGCCTACGAAAAATAAAACGAGAACTTTTCTTCCCCTTTTTCTACAGGTTATTATTAAATTGATACTGAGGTACTTTTTTTCCATTTATTTATTACTTAATCCTATTAGTGTCCACCAGCTAGCTGTGCTTCTTGTAAACAAAATTATTTCGGTACTGTACAAGAACAGCTGATCTAACCCATTTTCTTTTACTCAATTCATGGCAAACATCACTGAAGCTTATTCTTTCGACATCACATTTTATAATTAGGTACTAGCTTGTGTTATTAGTGAATATGCTGTCAAATGGGGCCCCATATCTTGGAGGTGCCTAAGGCCTACGAAAGTCTTAACCCGGCCCTGTGTATACATGTTGTATTGGATGTACAATGCAGCTTGGTGCTGGGAAGGCAGCATGGTTACAAGCGTGATGTAGAGAGAGCTGGTTGGTGAGGATGCTCAGAGGAGGACAGCTTGTGGGTCGCCATGCTCGCCGGCGGGAGCGAAGACCTCCAGGCAGGCGGAGGAGGAGGTGTTGCTGGCTGGTTGGTGTAGGTAGAAAGAGAGAGGTCACCACGAGGTCAGGTCTTAAATGGCGGGGGGTAGGCGTGGCTTAGTAGTTGACCTCCGTGATGTATGGCGGCGCTGGTTGACCCAGACCACGAGGCATACACTGGGGAATTCACGGGGTCGGCAACTCAGCGACAAACAGCGGATTAAGGCCAATTGATGCCCTAAGCACAGCCCAACAATGGTGCCCCCTCGGCCCTCCCATTGCTTAACTGACAAGATATTAAGACCATGATTAAGACTCAATGAATACTGATGATGAAATATAAGATAAAAAATTCAGGTTTCTTCCAGGCCACCCCACAAGCCAGATCCTACAATTTTCTCATCACTGATGTTAGACTAGAACCAGAACAAATACAGTTAAAGACAATTAAGAAATAAAAACAAAGAGTTGAAGTTTTTCAACATTTGATAATTATAAAAATCACTTAAAATAGACAGTTTTGATTTAACCTTATTTATTATAACAACTAGGCCTAGAGTTACTGCTCTTAATTTAGTAACACAATATACAGTATTTATACAGTTAAAATATCTACCTCTTTATTTTGTAAATATAAAGTAATTTAATTAATGAGAAATTCAGAAACTTACATGTTACTTCACACAATCCACCTCATACCACACGTTAAAATAGACACATTTCGTTGATACTGCAAGAACCTGAGTGAGGGCTGAGAAGCGAGGGAACGAACTTAGACAATTTCAGACGTTCAAGAACGTTCTTGAACGTGTATAAAATAAAGCCGTTTTCTATTGGGCAACGTGTCCTTAAAAAAAAAAGGAGCACAGTTTTCTTGGTTTAAAACCCTTACAAAACATAGTTAACGAACAAAATGGGATAAATATTTTTCACCAATTTTATACGGCGGTTTTACACTAGCCTATTAGGTTTTATCGCAAATATGATCTGGTCACTACAAGGCATAATACCTTCAAAAGAAAAACCTGTGGTGCCCCCTTCTTTTGGTGCCCTAAGCACGTGGTTATTTTGCTTAATGGTTAATCCAGCCCTGGGAGAAATCCACTACAAGCGTTTCTAGATTTTGTTTTCATTAAACTAATTTAGAAAATAGTCTCTTTGCACCTGCATTGGATGTTGGAAGAGACAATACCTGCAAAGCAAATGTACAAAGGTCCTTAAATTGGGAAACACCTACACCGTCCATAAGTTCCCCTAGTTTTGTATAAATGTCTCGGGTGGTATAGCAATCACACAGTGTTAGTACAGGAGGAAATCGGGGACCGGGAACCTATGGTGTCTGGTAGGGTCACAATGGATAACACCCTTCTCACGTGTGTCCTAATTTAATATAAATTATACAATTGGATAGTGGTGGGTTAATGAAGCTTTATATGCAGTATATTTATAATATCTTGTTTGTACATAGGATCCCTTACTGCGTAATCAAAACAAAATTGTGAGCACATCTGCTACAGTTTAATGATATTGGTTAATTTTAGATATTTCTACATTTGTATCAAATAGAAAAGATAAAAGCAGCAATAGTACCTTTAATATGACTATAAGAGTATCTTAAATAATGTACATAACTTGCCAGTAAACAACATGGCACGAAACATACAGGTTAGTTATTAATTTGGCAAAGTCTCTAAAACTGGTGTAAGTCAACAAATAGTGACTTACTGTCCCAACACTACCCAACGCGTGTACTGTAGGTGGTGGTGTTACTAAGTTTTACAATACAGTAATATTAAAGATGGGGCGAAAGATACCAGGGAAGAAACACAGAGGCGTAAAGGATCCTTATAAACAGCAAGAACAACGCTTTAATAAGTAAGTTATTTTATAATATCACTCATTAACAACTACAGTGAGAACTGTAACTAACGTTACTGTTAGATTCAAGGAACCAAATATGAGACATTTTCACATTACCCCAGAATATTTTAAGATCTTCAAACTAAATGGGAATATGCATGGATATCCATAAAGATAAGGCTTTGATGAATAATTAATTTAAGATTTATTTGTGGCATTCAGTAGGAAAGGATTTTTCGGGACTTAAACAGTCCTTTCCTAAAGGTTGCCACAAATACATAAATAATTATTCATCATTAAAGTGCTGCAGAACACTTGACTGTTGATTTTAACACAAATATTAGGCTTAGTATTATTCTAGTAATGCAGTCTAAATCACAGAATATTGTACACAAAAAGTATCTTTTAGGAGGGGTTCGATGAATTTTCAACTGAACAATCAACACGCTGGGCTACCAATGCGAGGTGTGCCTCATGGGCCTTTTTCTAAAACCTTCATGCGTGGTGCTATTTTGTTTCGTACAAGAATTGTAAAGTTATTTATTTTGCCGAGTGTACAATAGAGGACTTTAGGCCTATATATTGTAATTAAAGGTACCAACCCAACCGATGTTCTTTCTTATAGTACTTGCTCATTCTGATATCCATTGGACCCAAGGGTCGCAATACCTTTTTTGATAGGTATACATTACCTGTACTTTTAAGGAAGAATCTAGTGATCTGAACAGAATCTTTACAGCCATTTACAGAGGTTTTACTGTACATTTTACACCTGGCACTCCAAATTCTGGAAGAACCCCCTATCTGGCAACCCCCAGGTCCCAAGCATACCGGATAAATGGTTCCATGCCTGTTTTATGATTCAACAGGACATAAATTTGAATTGTATATGGGTTTACCTGAAACACGACTAATAATTATCATTCACCAGGATAAAGGACAAGGTAAATCGCAAGCCTTCCTCAACTGATGTTCAAGAGATACCCAGAAAGCTGCATAAAATATCCAAATTTGAGGATAATGATAAAAGTGGACCACTGTTTGTGAAGAAAATGAAGAAGAAGAAGAAGAAAGATCTTATTGATGCTACCAAGTGAGTTTCAATCTGAGTTGAGTTCTTATGTGTAATACTGTACAGTACTGTACTGTATTAGTTATTTTTATTATATTATTGTGACAAATAATTGGTTTAATTTGGAAATACACAGTACAGTACTATATTATGTGCTAAATCACCTACCCATGGGACTTCTTCATTCTTAGGGCAGGTACAGTACATTATCCATCACGAGAGTGTAATATGTACTGCAAAAAACTCCTACTGACAGTCAAACCAAGATATTGAATCAAGCTCATACCCTGACTCAGTGGTTCTTTAAAAAACTAATGAGTCAATAGGTATATGGACATGGACCCTCAACTACAATAGTTTAACTTTGTGCTCGAGGCATCCCCAGTACACATAAGCTATGAATGGGTGCTTACCTTAACACGTAAGGAAGTGATGGTGGTCATGTGCAGTGCTGGCCACACTGCCTCCGTGTGTGCCGAAAAGGAGGTGTAGTTTTACTGTGTGCTGTACTAACACTGCCCCAAATGTATTGTCAGACCGATAGGACCCACTCTCACTTTCAATGGAGCAAAAGTAGGTAACCTTTACACGTTCCAGATCAAAAGAATAAACTATACCGGGTAGGTATCTGGGATTCAGTGAGCACACCTAAGTTAAAGCAACTCCTGATACACTTCACCAGCCTTGAGAAGTGTTAATCAAAATATCTATAAATTAATGCTTCTGTGCCTTTTCATCTCATGTTTGAATGTCAGAAGTTTTAATGTACAGTAAATGATACAGTACTTGTAGTTGTTTACAGCTGTTCTCCTGTTCAGGGATCTGTCGTTATCTGCAGCTTGTTTGTAGATGTCGGTGCTTTGCTTTATGAATACAGTATTGTGTATTTCTGTCAGGTTTATGGACCGGGAGAAACACCAGCCAGGTATGACTCGGCCACTGAAGATGGTCCCCATGCTTAAACAGCATCCACACGAGAGTGAAAAGAAGTTCGTCAAGAGGGTTGATAGAGCAACAAAGGTTTCTAATGAGGATAAGTTGTTGCTTATGTATCTTGTGAAAGTTTAGGACTGATAGTTCATCAAGGATGCAGTTGATACACCACACTGTAGACCATCCCTTTCTTGATACACCATCACTTCTCTAACTGTAAAGTTAAGTACCCACAGCTAGGTGAACTGAGGGTGCCCTGGATAGTAACCAGCAACCCCAAGGATAGGAAGTGAGTGCTGTATGAACTCCAGCTGTGTTTTAAATTGTGGGTAGATTGGAAGGTATTACTGGCTGTGGTATGATCATAAATGACTATCATTTCTGTGTTGTTATTGTTTTCTGATGTACCAGTACTGTATTGTGATTTAATTTACTACACTATGAATTTTGATGGTTTAAAGCTTATTAATATAGATTTTCACCATATTAAAAGCAATTTAAGTTTATATTCTTAGTAAATTGTACTGCAGTCTACATGCAAAGATGATGTATAATATAATTTGATATTTTGGTGTGGTCAGAGTACAGATTTTTTTTGGTTTTTATTTCAGGTAATACTAAAAGAAGCTGCCTTTGAGGACAAATTTCAGGTGGATGTAATGAGGGATGAACAGGGCAGTGTTACATCTGTGAAACGGAGAGAGAACAGTGACCCATTGCTCTCAGAAAAAAAGCAACTGGAAGCTAATGAACGAGCACAAAGAAAGAAACAAGCAAGAAAGGTCTGTTCCATAATACTTGATGCATGTTCAGTAATTATGATAGTCAAATGATATGCCAGCCCAGCCCCCCCCCCCCAAAAAAAATACTTTCATAAATCAACTCACAATGGTAAAAAGCCTATGTAAAACATAAATTCTACTTGCTGAGCTCTGGCAATCCAAATAAAGGTTTCTGTAATGCATGACCTTATCCATAACCATGGGAACAGCTCGCACTGACAGTCAGTCCCTAGTAATACACACTACACTCTTGCCACATACTCTCGGCAACACTGTATGATCCGGTTTGCCCACAACACCTAATGGTATAATGTAGTGATCACAGTGACACTTGTTGTGTTCATTATTATTAAATAAAATGAAGTCTAAGCACAGTACTATTGTACTATTCCAGAAGTTACTAAATGTGACATAATACTTCTGTTATCGCCGCTGGCTTCAGCTACAGTGCTGGCGTGTGATGCCATTAAATCTTTCGACCTGTGACCTCGCCAGATGTAGAAGTGTTTACAGACAAGTCCTGGTTCTGCTGAGTGGACTGTCTTAGACTGGTGGCGGTGGCTGCCCGCCCCTCCATGAGACAGATCGCCCTCTCTAGTGATGCTGTGAAGACCAGCCTTCTGCCCGAGAATTTGTGCTGGGACGATTTACGCAATACTGATTTCTCTTGGAACACCATACTGATCTGCATCAAATTTTACGCTAGAAGAGACCACATTATGATTTATAAAACAATTCCATGGCAGTAAAATGAGCTCAAAAAAAAAAATTAATAATAATAATAATCAACGATTTTTTGGCAAAAACCTCCGAGGCTGAGCGTAAGTTTTTATACACGTATGTCTCTCAGGCTCCGAGGCTGAGAGGGTTAATGAGGCCAATGACCACACTGGCATGGCCTAACCTTGTCAGTAGTTCAACTACTGTTGTCAGGTGAGGGTTGGTCAAAACTCATTCCTACACTCTTTCAGTTATACTCTATGTTATTAACCCCTTCACTACTGGACACTACTTCTAATATTTTACTTGGCTAACACCAAACAATTTTATTCAACACAGAGAGACCTCTCATATTCAAGGGGATAACTATGCCCTGGGAAGGAAAAACCTTGTAGATGATATGAATTACATATACAAAGCTCAGAAAAAGATGCTGATGCAAATGTAAAATGAAGTTTTGCAAGGCTTGACTCCACACCTTTGCTGTTAAACCCAAAGTTCATAAAATTTTAGCTGACTTGATGGCTGCCCCAATTTATTCCCGGGAATCTTCTCGGTCACTTACTGCTGCTGTTAGTGCAAACATCGCTGACAATGAAATGGACTAACTACCATTCACTTCACATTTAAATTGAAATACTGTATAACAAATTGGAGTCAAGCAAAATTCTTCAGAATAGGTTTGGCTATGAAATTCCTGCTGAATACAGATTCTTAGATACTGGCAAACATTTTGTGCAGTTTGATAGTGGTGAGAATGACATAAATAGATTACAGGGCTGCCTCACTTATCGCAAAGGTTATGGGCATGAAACTTGTTGCGAATATCGAAATTGCGAATAGTTGAGCAATTTCTCCCATAAGAAATAATGTACAGTATATGTAAGAGAATTTGCCGACATACAGGACTAAAAAGGTAACTAATTTCAGGAACGTGACATTCGGAGAAAACACAAAAACAAGAAGGAAGAAGATGATGATGAATTCTCTTATTACCAAGACAAAGTTGAATTTGGAGAAGTTGTCTATGAGCCACCAAGTCTGGACACAGAAAAACTCACCAGAAAGGTTAATGGAGGAGTTACAAAGGTGATTATTCTAACAATTGACTTTTTTTATAACCTCTCTTATATAAATTAATTATGTATACTGTATAGTATACTGGTACTGTATTTCCCATTTTATGATAGAGTTCCATTATTGAAAAGCCTTCAAAAATCTAATTTTCATGAAATGAAGCACCTATCCAGTGTATCCACAGTTTTTCATTATAAAAGCTGAGATATGTTCCTTAAAAAAAAAATTCCAAATTGCTTAAAATACCACACATTGCTATAAAACATATTTTTAACGAAAAATTTTGGTATACACAATGATTATAAGATATTAATAAACATAATGAGTGAGATACATGCAGTACTTATGATAAACCAGATGAGATTTGAAAGAAAGTTAACTATGAAATGCAAAGCCAACATCTGGAATATATATATTATTGTAGTATTACTGTACTGTGCATTGATTTCCATCAAACAGTATAATTGAAGATATATTTTCTATGGGGAAAAAAACATGCTCAACCCCAGATGAGTTATTGCATCGTCCTAAATTCCCACTGCTTGTTTTACATGGTGTAAACGCTGCTGTCAGTCAGCTGACGCAACACTCTCTCCAATGTGTTGCTGGCAATATCTACACTTCCAAACTTTTGTTAATATCCAAATTCCACACTTTCTCTTACAACTGTACAACTTTTATTTTACAAAGAAATTTGTACAGTATTTGAAATTTAATATAAGAATATAAAATAATTTAGCTTTATTTAATTTTTCACATGTTTCATGATAGCAAGCAAATGAATAGATTGGACAATCAGGCAACTGGATGAGTGACTGTGCATATGGTTGATATGAGTCCTTGTCTTCAGTGAGTTTGAGGAGTAAGTTATGGTAAATGTAGAAGAAATGGTAATACATTGAAAGCCTATTTGCAAGTGTTACAGAATAATGAATGATGTTACTGAAATATGTAAGCTTATTGGTAGTAACAAAATTGCATTATTTTAGCTTAGTCTCATTATTATTTAGGAAAAAATTATGAATATAGCATGGGACATGTTTTTTCCTTTTCATTACTGAAATTTTTCATAAAACAAAGTTTTGTAAATCGGGGACTACCTGTATTGTGCTGTATTTTGGAATCATTTATCACTACTGTATTTTTAACCTGTCCTGGGATTGCTACAGAAGCTGGTATACTGTAGTTACAGTTATACCCTTTCCACACTAACTTGGCTCATAGGCCCCGCCCCTCTTGTATGCTAATAGCTGACTGGTTCAGAGAAAATTCAAACTAAATGTGTTCACAATTGGTAAGCAGACCTATTATTATCTAAAGTACTGTAATGCTAAATATATGGATTTTCAAAATGCAAATCATTTCAAGGCAATAGCACTTCAGAGAGGATGTTAGAAAAGTTAAATATTTGTTATAAAACGTCGATATAAATACGCGCAGTCTGAGGGGAGGAAAAATGCTCAGGAGAACCAATCAACTATTTGTAGCTATAGACAAGGGGCAGGGTTTACGGACCAGCTTGGTGTGGAAATACTATAGTTATCACACATAAGGCTGTAAGGTGATGTTAGGGGTTGTTGCCTCCACCATTGCCTTATATATGAGGTACTCCAGATTAGAACAAAACAAGTGACAGGAACTTGAGATGTATTTATTCTACCATTATGCTTATTTTAAAACTGATGAACTTTAACTGCATTCTTTACTTTGGTCACTTGTCTACTTCTTGCATGTTCTGAAAAATGAATGTCTGGTTGCATAATGTTGTGGATGTGATACTTAAAACTCACACTAAGGAACATTAATGCACTGTGATAATAAGGTTCTTTCATTGTAAGAAAACATTCATTATACTGTATTAGGTTCTTTCATTGTAAGAAGGCATTCACTATATTACATTCTTTCATTGTAATTTGTAAGAAGACATTCACTGTATTAGGTTCTTTTATTGGAAGAAGGCAATCATTGTACAATATTGGTTCCTTTCATTGTAAGAAGGTATTCACTATATTGTACTGTAGTATTAGGTTCTGTCACTGTAAGGCACTCAATATGTTCATTCCAGCCAAGTGCCTCCTAAAATTGAACAAATTGTATCTTGAAACTTATAATGAAGATAAAGAAAGCATTTTTAAGACACTATATTAGCTTTTAAAGATATAGTATTACATTTAGTTTTGTTCTTTTTCTTTTTCCAACAGCCTAAAACATTCTTGTTCATGGATAAGCTAAAAAGACCAGAAGACTCAGACACTCCAGCCTCCAGTACACAAGTTAAGAGTCAGAAGAAAGGGAATATATCAGCAGCAAGGAAAAGGATCCTGGAGGAGGAGAGAGTCAGAGTAATGGAAGCTTACCGAAAGATGAAGGCCGCAAAATACTCCATTGTCCTTGGAACATAGTAATAGTGAAACTCTAATATTGATTTAAGTTTGAATAAAGACCATATATTAACCTTTTGAATATGGTGATTTAATCCCTTGCATAAAATGATTTCTTATGACCTAGTACAATGATATAACCCCTTGAGGATGTTAATTTAACAATTTAGGGATAATGATTTAACCCTTTATGGACAATTCCTCAACCCTTTGACAATTTTATGTCATCAATCCCAATGGGTTAATAGTATAACTATTTACTTTTGAAGATTTATCCCTGCAAATACAAATGATGTGGTGGTCATTACATACAAAACAATTTCAACTCACGCATAAGGGTAACAACCTTCACCTCACAAACTTATATACGTATTCATACTTTACCGTATTAGTTCTCCCAATTCCTATAATATTGTATGAAGTCATGTTAATTTATAATGTTCTTCATAGGCTTCTTGCTCATTCACATTTAAGAATGGGAGTGAGACATATAACTTATCTTTTCTAGGAGTCAGTTCTTCCATTGTCAGTGTTGTTACATGTAGACCACAATTATCTTAATTCACATACCATTTTCAGTTCTTTTCTTTCAAATAAAATTATCAAATTATAAATATAAAATGATCCTACTCATTTTTCTCATTCACTGATTCTGCTGGGAGTAACAACATTTTCCACACACAGTACAATAATTTTGTCAATGTTTATTCAGTTTTGTAAAATGACCTCACAATTGCTTATTTTCACTCATATTATGTACAGGGAGTGTCATAGGTCCACTACCCACCACACACTCACTCTACCACCTCCGCCTATTGATGAGTACCAATACAAACTTAGTACTGTAGTTCTATATACTATTTTCTATAGAAATGGCAATGATTTTCTGTATATGTAACTTTTTTCATGGGGCAAAGGGAGGCTGGGGAATTTAACTCCCGTATTTTATCTATTTCTTATGAGGAAAATTGATCCGCTTAACGTTGTTTTGCATTACGTCGTGTTTTCAGGAACGTAACCCCGACGTTAAGAGAGGACACCCTGTATTGGTAATAACCCACCCGGGCACAGGTCATCGACCCACATTTGGTGGTGGATTTAGCTGGTAACTAAAAATAAAAATTCTCAATCAACTGGATCTTTAAAGTGACTATAAATTGTACTCCACATTTAGAGGTGCATGATCTTAAATGTGGAGGGGACGAGAGCCAAGAAAGACATGGGGAGAAGTTGTAAGAAGTGACATTAGAGTTAACCTAACAAGAGAGACTGCAAGAGACAATGCAGCATGGAGATCTGCCATCAGGTAACCAAGGCTAACCCATGCAAGTGAGGAAAATGACTAAAATCGATGTTGTTGATCACTGGTGAGACTGACTTTTGTGGAAAGTTAGTTTACATTATAATGTATATTTGTGTATTGTAATGATGAGGTACTCCAGTACCTCAGTTACCCAGAGATATTAGAACACCTGCAGTTGCCTAGCTTATACTATTGGCAAGCAAGGGGTGACTTAATAGAAGTCTATAAATGCCTTGGAGGACATCAGAACTAGGAAATGCCTGCCCCACTAGAGGTCACAGCCTCTGGTTAAAGAATCCACAAGTTCAGAAAATTGTCAGGGTAAACTTATTTGGAGTGAGAGTTGTGAACTCTTAGAGAAACCGGTCAGAGAGTGTTGTGATGGCACCAATTGTGAGCTCATTCAAGACCAGACTTGACCAACACTGATGCAAGTACAGACACACACTGGAGCCAGTGCATGCCATTGACCAGTACTTGCCAACAATAGCCAGTACATGCCCAGTATTTATGAAGAGTAGCCGGTGAATACCTAGTACTGTACATGCATTTCCCGAGTTACGATCATCTGCACTTATGGTCATTGCCCTATTATATTCTCAAAAAAATATAAGCGACTTCCGACCATTTGTAATACCTGTACTTGTACTTACGAACCAAGCATGGAGCACTCTACTTTGTTTGGTGCACCTTGCCAGCTCCCCCACTGAGCCAGATAACTAATTTGCAAAGAAATGCATATTCCCTTTATGTGTTTGGCCTTTATGACAATATTTTTTTTATTTATTTTTTTCACTATATGAATGTAGGATGGTGTGTGCATGTGACTGAGTAAAAATAAATGAAGAAAGATATGTATATCTTCCCAAAAATACGAGTTGAAAAACAACCATAACACCTCACAGCTTGGCCCAGTAGCTTGGTGGTTATAGTAACGAGTCTAACTTGGCTACAATGCCGCCAGCGATATTAGCAGATGCAAATGTGAAAAGAAAGTTACCCAGTATCTGTAAATTATCATTTGTATCAGGTGTTACATTACATAACATTTTAAAATATGGAGTGAGAAAGGTAAAAGGTGGGGTGATTAGATAGATGGAGTGGAAAGGAGTGTTGCCAAGCACTCCTCAACAGCTACCACGCAGTCACACACTTGTGCATCAGTACATATTTTACTGTGAATTTCAATGTTCCGAGTTGTGAACAGATCGACTTACGATCAGGGTCCAGGAACGTATCCTTGTCGCAAGTCGGAGAATGCCTGTACAGTTGCCAGTACATACCCAGTACTTGTCAACAGTAGCCAGTACATACCCAATACTTGCCAACAGTAGCCAGTACATGCCCAGTGCTGTACATGTCAACAGTAGCCAGTACTTGCCAACAGGGATGTGACCAATGAGTGGCGAAGAGAATAAAGTACTGTACGTACTGTAATGTAAAGAGGTTAATTCAACTCCTCTGGTTACAAATGTTTGAAGACGATGCCAAGTTATTCAGGGAAATTAGGAACCAAACAGACTGTCAAGAGCTGCAGAAAGATCTCTGTGCTTCAAGAGTGGTCAAAGAAATGGCTGCAAAGATTCAATATCAAGAAGTATAAAGAAGATGCACCTGGGTCATACCAACGGTAAGGAGGTGTATCATATGTCCCAACGGGATGAAGAAATTGCATTAATAGAGACTGAAGGCGAAAAGGATCTGGGTGTGTATGTTGGCAATGAAATGAAGTTCTCAGGCCATTGAGAGAAGATGAATAAGCAACTAAACCAGTAATCATATAAGAAGGTCGTTCAGATATCTAGACAGTCAGTCCTTCGTAACGATCTTCAAGTACAGTACTGTCACCCGGTCTGGTCCCCGAGATATGCTAGAGACTGTCAGTTGATTGAATATGTCCAAATGAGGGCCACGAGACTGGTGCCTACACTTCGGTACCTCAGAGGTTGAGTGCCTACAACTGCCTAGCTTATACTACAGACGGGCAAGGGTGACCTAATTGAGGTGTATAAACATCTCAGAGGGCGCGATTCAGTCGAGTGTCCATACCTGGAGCTGGCGGACACCTGCCTCACAAGGGGTCATAGCTCAAGGTTGAAGAAGCCCAAGTCCAGAATACTGCGAGGGCGAACTTTTTCAGAGTGAGAATAGTGAACTCTTCGAACAATCTGCCGTGTGTGAGCTCTTTCAAGACCAAACTCGACCAACATTGGAGCAGGTAAAGATACATTCAGAAGCCAGTGCATGCCCAGTGTGTAACTGTGTAACAGAGACGTGACCGATGGCTTGAGCTGTTCAGTGGCGAAGAGGATATAAGTAAAAGTAATACAATATTCTTGGATTTAAATGTCCTCTGCAGACTGAGTATCATCTTACCTTCTGGTTAATAAACCGTCAGGGGGGCCAACATTCTCTAATGTATGCTAACAAATTAAACCGTTGTTAACTATTTTTGGGTAAGTGTCTGTGTGTTAATGTAAATAATCTTAAAGAAATAAAGTAAGACTGTCTGTTTATTTAGTACAGACAATATTAAAAAAAAAAAAAAGATTTAATTCAGGTACCCTTAAATCACATCCATTGCTCGATGACGTCACAGCCGTAAAATACTGCCTGCCTGTATCATCATATTACTGAACTTGGAGAGAGAATAAAATCTTCTTACTAGACTTGCTCTTCATCTCTTGAACGTAATAGTGGTTACGTAACAATTCAAAACTTCCAAAAGCCAACAGTAGCCAGTGCATGTCCAGTGACTGTTATTGAGATAAAAATATAATTATCTATAAAAGCTATGAACTTATAACTTCATTAGAAAATAAACACCACAGTACGATAAGTTGGAACAAGGAGTTTTAAATAATTAGATTCGACGAAAAAATACCAGGATTATTATTCCGCTGCGGCTACTACGTCTTTTACAAAAGTGTACATCAGATTGGCCTCTTCCTCTTGTGCAGAATTTTCCCTGGTGGAAATATTTGCCATATTTTTTAAGCTCGCCTGATTCTTTAAGATCGATACCATGAATCAGTTAAATTTTTGTATAAATATTACTCATTTGTTTATTTCTTTAAACAAATAGTCACAGTACCTTCACAGCGAACCATTTAGGAATATGATGTTCAGTATTTTAGTGAGTATACGTATATTGTACTCAAAGCTGGAAGATTCCCTCGTAACATTTACAGGGTATACAGTCACTCACGGCCGTCTTAATGCCTCTATTGGTGAACAGTTAAACCACAGCCACCTGCATGTTCCAAAAGTCGCACCGCAACTCTAAGTGAGATCAAATGTCTTGTGTGAAGGGGATAAGTGTTTACAGGCATACTACTATTACTTATGGCCACGCACCACAATTCAAGGTTAGCAGGAAGTGGCAGACCTCGAGGCATCCACACCAGCATAACTGGCACTCTTACTTTCTGAGATAAAAATATAATTATCTATAAAAGCTATAAACTTATAACTTCACTAGAAAATAAAAACCACAGTACGATAAGTTGGAACAAGGATTTTTAAATAATTAGATTCGACGAAAAATTATCAGGATTATTATTTTGGTTTCATATTATCATTGGTAGTGCTTCACGACGTACCCACGACCTGAATATACAGTTACGACATTCTTTTATCGGCGATAATTACTACTTGTAACTTTAAGGGGGAATAAATTGCACAGCGGATTGGAATATATTTGTAATATGAATGTGACCAGCGGAAATTACCAATTGCTTCCCTAACATTTTAATAAGCATTTACAACATC